CTTTTCTTTTCTTTTCTTTTCTTTTCTTTTCTTTTCTTTTCTTTTCTTTTCTTTTCTTTTCTTTTCTTTTCTTTCCTTTTCTTTCCTTTCTTGGCTTTGCCAGTCTGATGCAGTAGGGCTTCAGATTTTCTTTCATTCTGTACCGTTGGCCATTACCATTCAAATCTCATTCCCTGACCCCCACTGCCCAACTCCTTCTCAATGCCCCACTCTAAAACTACCTACTCTTTCTCCTCTGCCCTCTGGAAGGACTGCTCCACAGCCAACAAACTTGCTCTCATCTTAGATCTTTTCCTTTTTCAATTCTTTCCACCATTGGCCTCTCACTTAGGCCTGGCTCCTTCCTGGTGACAGCTTCCCTGGCTGCCCTTTGTAGCCCCAACTGCACTTTCACTAGTTACCCCTGACCCACTGGTCTAAATGGGGGAGTTGGAATGTTTCTTGCTCCCCACCACTCTTCCAGGTTCTTCCACTACCATCACTCAGTAACCTTCCTTTTTGGAGGTTCACTTAATCCATATCTGTCACCCAATCAAAATTCTGCTGATGACTCCCCAATCCACCTGTCCAGACCTAACCTCTCTGATGACTTCCAGTCTCAAATCTCCACCTGTCTATGGAGCACCCTGAACTGGATGTCCTGTAGACATCTTAAACTCACATGTTTAAAACTGAACTCATTCTCTTTTCCCTTTCAGACTTCCCTATTTCTGTCCAGGGAAGAGTGATTGCTCTTGGATTTACCCTGTTACTGAGAGAGCTGACTGTCCTCCTCCCAGTCACCGTGTCCCCAGCTCCTCACGCTCCCTCACGCCCCCCATGTCCAAGCTGTTGGCAAGGCTGGTTGATTTGATCTTTGTGACATCTTTTATCAATGCTCCCTTCTCTCCTCTGACACTGTCACCCCTATAGTGTCGGCCCTTAATATCTCACGCCCAGGTTATTGTCATAATAACTCACTGCTGGTAAGTCTGCTGGCCACAAGTCCCCACTTTAGTCCATCTTCCACTTAGCTGTGAAAGCACAGGTGTGACCATGTCATCCCCACTCCCACTACTTAATAAACTCCAGTGACTCCCTATCACCTTCAGGGGCAGAAATAAAATCCTCTATTGGGCATCTTCAGAGCCCTTCATAACTTAGCCCCCACCCTCTTACTTATTCAGTCTTCTTACACCTTATACTCTCCTCTCTTTTCCCCCCGGAAGCCTGTCTTGATCTCTCTTGTTTCCTGCTCACCTTCCCTCTGTTGATTATTTCCAATTTATCCTCTATAGTTTGTTTGTACAGAATTGCTTACATATTGTCTCCCCCACTAAACTTGAGAAACTTGAGTCTCTCACATTAGATGCTCCCTTGAGAATAGAGACTATTTTGCCTTTTATTTTGCACCCCCAGTGCTTAGCACAGTGCCTGGTATACAGTGAGTGCTTTAGCAAGTGTTTATTGATTAATTTGTGTTTCTCTAATTGGGACTTTTTTTCATATGGTTATTGATAGCTTGGATTTCTTCCTTAGAAAGCTGCACGTTCATGTCCTTTGACCTCTTATCAATTGGCAAATGGCTCTTATTCCTTCAGAGTGGACTCAGTTCTTGACAAACCTAAGACCTTTATCACAGAAACTGGCTGCAAAGATTTTTTCCTTAGTTCTTAAAACAGGGAAGTTCAGAGTTGGGGAAGGGTTCTGGGGGAAACAAAGCAAGTTCGGTTTTGGAGCTGTTCAGTTTGAGATGCCTTCAGGACATCCAGGAGTCAATGTCCAGTAGACATTTGGTGTTTCAGGGCTAGAGCCCCTGGGTGCAGAATGTTGTGGATGTGTGGGGTCTGTGTGTTGTACTTAACACCATCAGCATTAGCATCCTTAAGGGGATTGTCAAACACAGGGAGTGCCTTAAGCCAGGCCCAGGATTATGGAGTAGAAGTGTGTTTGATTTTGCCTCCTTCAGTCTCAGCTTCCACCTCCCATTAGCTATGAGCTTTGTTTTTAGTACTTCAAAAGATCTGTGACTACATTATGGCATGATGAAAGGAGCTCATGAAATCCTGACTCTACTGCTTCCTGGCTGTGTGACCTTGGAGAAGTCTTGAACCTCTCTGACTCTCAGTTTCCTCATTCGTAAAATGAGGCATTGACACTGGGTGCTCTCTGTGGTCTGGTCCTTTCACTCTGTAAATCCTGTGAGCCCATGACTACTGCATGCCTTAGCAGAGAAGGAGTCTTCATGAGTTTCTGTCGCCCCCAAGAACCATCTCCTGGCGTCTAGTCTTGTGGTGATGAGCCTCTTATCTATATAACGAGGCTGTTCCCTAGATAACAGACACATTGTCCATCACTGGCCCCCTGCTTCAGATCCTTCCAGCTTGGCAGACCTACCTACCTACCAGAACTTGAGTTTGGTTGGCTGGTAGAATCTTTAAGAAGTTGACGCTGTCCGGGTGCTGTGATGAGGACCCAGAGTGGCGTCTTGGTGAAAGCAGCCCTGAGAAGCCTTCCATGAGCTCCAGTGTTCTTCTCTAGTCTCCCCTGTTCTTGCCCTTCTAAGTTCTGCACAGGCAGATGACTTATCTGCCTTGTCTTTTTGGCAGGTTATTGAGAAAGAAGCAAAGAACTTTATTGATGAATCCTTTAAGACTCTTCGCTCCGCAGAAGCTGCTTTTGACATGCTCTTAAAGTTCAAGCATATTCGCTCCCGGGAGGCTATAAATAAGCAGATGATGATGAAATTCAATGATATTTTGGCACAATACTGTAAAGAGGTAATTTTAAGCAGCGTGTGAGCCAGCATGCTGTGCCCCTAAGCATCGCAAGTGGTTAAAAGTGTACAGAGGGCAAAAAGAGGCTGGGCAAATAGCTTAGAGTTGTTTTTTATGACGGGAGATCCAAATCCAGGGAACCTATGGAATTTCCCCTGATGTCATTTAATAACTCAAGTCACATAGTCAAAACAATATAGATTTGTTAATACAGGCAAGGAATTCTACAATTGTGTCCTGGATGCCTGCTGTGATCTGAGCCGTAGTAGATGGGTTGTTGGCTCTAAAAGGAAGATGCAATAGGGTCCTTTGACATCTGGGACCTTTTTAGCCAAAGTTATCTGAGTCTGGATCTAAATCCTGGCTCTGCCTTTTAATTACTTGTGTGACCTGGAGCAGGCCACATTCCCCCCCCAGGCCTCAGTTTCCTCCTCTGTAAAATGAGGGGGTTAGACTAGATAACCTCTAACGTCCCTTCTAGTCTAGTCCCCTAGTCCTACCTATGATCCTGTGATTCCATAAGCAAGGGTTAGGGAGAAGATAGTAAAAAAGTCCTCAGTTTCTCCTAAGCCAGCTGGTGCTTTGCCAGCTTTTGTTCTTGGACCTGAGCTGATTCTTGGCCAGACCAATCTTGGTAATTAATTTATCCCTTTGGCCACAATAGAGGTGGTTGGCATCAAGGAGCTTTCAGTCTTGTTTAGAAAAAAAGATTAATTAATATATTTCAGGGGTGTACCTGTTGGGATGCAAACCCAGAGTCTCAGATTGGTGTTTGCCAAGGGATTGCCAGTACTGGGACATTTCTTGATGGCTTGAGTGCCAGTGTTAATGGAACCATGTTGGTACCGAAGCCATCCAAAAATATCCTAGTCCTGGCAATCCATAGGAAAATGTCAATCCAAGATTCTGGGGCCTTATTCCGATGGATGTGTGTGTTCTACACACATCCATTGATATATGAAATAAATAAAGAATCATTCTATGTAGTCTAGAATGTAGCATTCTAAAGAAATTGAACTTTGCCTTAATTATCTGTATAAGTGTAAAACATGCTCCTTTTTGACTGTGGAGACTTGGCCTTTGGTAGTGACAGGAATAGAGTTAGGACTGTTGCCTTGGCTCTTAGGTCATACTACTGACAAAAACTAGTACAAGTCTTTGTATGGTACATGTCCAAGTGAAGCCCATCTACCCACACGCATGGGGGGGTATACGGTTTAGTTATCATACAAATAGGGACACTGAGGAGACGGAACAACGAAAAGCCCCAATTAGCGGAGAAGAAGCAATTAGAAAAAAATAAAAGGCTACCTTAAATATTTCTTTAAAAATCCAGTTTTTTTATTTGTAAATTGCTTCAAGTTTACAGATAATAGAGAAAGGGTCTTTGATGTATTATACACAGGACCACTGATGTTTTTCAGTCATCAAATACTTTTTGATTTTGTCTTTGCAGGTTGACATAATTAATCGCTTATTTGTTCTGAATCTTGAAAACCCACCCTTATACAAGAATCATCCTCCACTGGCTGGTGCAATATATTGGGAGCGATCTCTCTTCTTCCGGATTAAGCACACTATCCTTCGGTTTCAGGAAGTGGAGGAGATGTTGGACAGTGAGAGAGGACGGGAAGTAGGTGGCTTTTGCATCCATTTCTGTATTTTACAGTTTTATTCCAGATAAAATGTAGTTTACATTTCCAATGCATTCCCAGTACCGACACAATTCTGTCCCACTAACTACAGTTGAAATCCTTTAATAGGTAAAACAAAAATATCTGGAAGTGGGTAGGAGGATGAAGGAATATGAAGATAGGAAATATGAGCAGTGGAGAGATTGGACAGAGCAGACTTTACCGTCCCTTCTGAAAAAAAGCCTTCTTGCCAAAGCCAGGATGACTGGATACACAACATCAGATTACGGAGGACCGGTAGGAGTCTCCTTTCTACTGTTCACGGGCCATGAATATAGGGTTTTTGTTTGCTTCTTTTAATGAAACTGATGTGTATTGTAAAATTAAAGAGTGAAGCCAGGAAATCAGGAAGTCAGAGTAAGGAGAAGAGAATGAGGCAAGGGAAGGAGGTCATATGTGACACCTTGGAAGACATTTCCCCCTCAGACTTTGAAATTTTAAAATGTGCCAAGTTTTTAGGGTGTCAGATGTTGAAGTAAATGTCCGTTTGCCCTTGTCAAATTTGGTTTTAACTTTATATATATATATATATATACACACACACATATATACATACATACATATATCATATATATATATATATGTATATACACGTGTCTTACTGTCTTTTTTGATTCTATTCATTCACTTGTGATTTGTCTCTTCCACAGGCAAATTTGGTCAATGATGATGTTGAGGCTACCACAGACAAGGGGATTTACTTTGTTATCAATTTTTCTCCTGCTCTTAAAGAGATTATTAATGAAACAAAATACATGGAACAGCTGGGGTTTATTGTGCCTGAATTAGCAAGGAATGTCGCACTTCAGGAAGACAAGTTTCTTAGGTAAGAATATTCTTTGGGAAAGAAAACTTTGTAATGTTTAAAACATACAATGGGGAGGCTTTGTTTTTTCTACAGGGGGATTTTTTTTTTCCGCTCTACAATGCTAGCCTTGTCTAGCTGGCTTGTTTTTTTTTTTTAAATTAATTTATTTTATCAACAATCACTTCCATAAATCTAGCTGACTTGTTAGCTAAGTTGAAGAATGTATGCCACACTTGTGGCTTCAATTAATTTTCATAGATTCTGCTTTTGTGCCTGGCACAAGAGCAGTAGTAAATACAGAAGACTATGGTGAACTGTTCTTGCTTTAGATAAACTTATGATCATATTGGGGAAATGATGACTTTGTAATAAATAAAATGATTAAAGAATACTTCAAGGTAGTATATGAGTAAAGGCTAAAGTCTAGGGTGTATGGAGGAAGAACCAGAGATTTGGGGTCACCAGACTTGGTTCTGAAGCCTGTCTACTAATTACTTGTTACTAATTACCGGTCACGTTGGGCAGATCACAAGTGTCTCTAGACCTTGATGTCATCTTCCGTAATATGAGGGCATTGGAAGAAAGGCCTCTGATCTGATGATGCAGATAATTGTGTGAAAAGGGGTCATAACAGGAAGGGAGTATTCTGGATTCGAGTTGTCAGAGAAGACTGCATGAAGGGCAGGATTTTCCTTCAGTTCCCAAATCACTTGAGGAAATCAGCATGGGACCATTATTGAGAGGATGGAAGGAGTGAACATTTTTCCTGGGGTTAAATATTAGCTAGCTAACAGACTTTTTGGGAACCCATCCGTGACATGAACTTTAATTACAGCCTCCAATGTCTGTCACTCCCTAGGTACACAGAAGGAATAAGGCATATGTTGGATCATTATTATACACTTTTGGGAACATTAAATGAGGCAGAGTCGACTCTTCTTGAAGAACAATCCCAGGAATTAGGGAGAGTATTCAGGGCTGGATATAAAAGATTGAACTGGAATTCACTGGGTAATGTACATTCATTTACTTTTAGATGGAATTTTATAATAACTAATTACCTGTGATGTTTTAATATAATTAGTTTTTTTTGCAAGGCAATATAACTGCTATTGTTCAAGAATTTTTGAATGTTAATAAAGTAGGTTCCATTGAACATAGAATTATAAATAAAACTTGATTTATGATGTTTTGTTTTTTAGAGCCCACAAAGCAGATTCAGGGACCTTATTGTAGATGAGATGATCTTTGTTCCCCCATTTTCCTCAACATTTAGCAGGAAATGCTGTCTAAATGGGTGAATTTTTTGTAAGTCAGTGGTCACACCACAAAAAAAAAAAAAACACATGCAGAACGGATTTATTTGAAACCAGATTTGTTGGGATTTAATTCTAGAGTGCACTTACCAGGCTCTTGTTCTCATGGCAAGATAAATACATATGGCAACCAAAATGAGCCTCTGGGCACTTCCAGCTGAAAATGTGGTGGCTTTGAGGTCTGCTGTTATTTTCACCAGCGTAAATGCTAACAGGTGGGATGTAGGTCCATTAAGAAAGCAGGAATCCAGAGTCTGAAGGTCCTGGCATTTCCTATGAAGGAAAAAAATCAGCTTTTTATATAGACAATGACATAGTAGTTTTTCCCAGTGTTGAACCTATACCTGAAGAATCCCTATTATACCACACCTCCTAGGTGGTCATCTCACCTTTTCTTCATTTGCCCTTTGGCAATCCTTTCCTGCATCAGCAGGAAGCATCCTCCACATAGGCATTCTGTCTATAGGTGCATCAGTCTTTTATTTATTTATTCTATGGGTTTATCAGTCTTTTGTTTATTTATTCATTCATTTATGTATCTATCTATTTATTTATTCTATGGGTTCATCAGTCTTTTATTTATTTATTCATTCATTCATCTATTCATTCATTCATTTATGTATCTATTTATTCTATGGGTTCATCAGTCTTTTGTTCATTTATTCATCCATTCATCTATTCATTCATTCATTTATGTATTTATCTATCTGTCTATCTATCTATTTATTTATTTATTTTTGGCTAGGCAATGGGGTGACTTGCCCAGGGCCACACAGCTAGTAAGTGTTATGTGTCTGAGGTCAGATTTGAACTCAGGTCCTCCTGATTCCAGGGCTGGTGCTCTATCTACTGCACCACCTAACTGCCCCTGGGTTCATCAGTCTTGTGGAGACTAATGTCCTCTGAACATTTAGGAACATAAAGCCATAATGAACAAAAGATCTTTGGGGCAGCATAACAGAAACAGAGGACAGTGGATGCTTTTGCATTCTAATACAAATGGTTTGCTAACCAAAATCGTACTGAGAATGGCACATACAGAATAAAACATGCAAAAGTTCGTTGTCACAGTACTTTGCAGGGGACCCATTTGTTTAATTCCAGCTACTGCAGATAGTGTCGTTTGTTAGTCGCTAGCAGTTTAGAATAATGAATCTCAGTTTTTCTCACTTGATGCTTTCCATCCTATCCCCACCCCGATTCCCAACGTGATTGTCTTAAAGGGACAAAGGATAAGATAGCTGTCATCTTCCTTTAACTCAGTTTGATTTTCAGTTCCAAATTCTCTTCCTCCCACTTCGCCTTCCCCACCCATTAAGAAAGCAAGAAAAGCAAAATCTATTAAAGTTTTTTTTTATAGAGAAGGTTAGCCTTGACCAAAAAAAATATGCTTCCAATTGTACTGAGTACGTCAACTCTTTATGATGGGTCGCATAGTTCATCATAAATCCTTTGGAACTGTGGTTGTGAACTGTGGTTGGTTTCATTTTGTTCAGAATTCCCAAATCTCTTAAAGTTGTTTGTCTTTACAATATTGTTATTATTGTATAATTTTTTCCTTCTGGTTCTATTCACTTCACTTTGCATCAGTTCATACAAGTCTTCCTAAGTTTTTCTGAAAACCACCCCTTTCCTCATTTCTTGTGGCATTCCATCATGTACATACACTATAACTTGTGTAGCCATTCTCCAAATGGATACCCCTCATTTTCCAATTCTCTGCCACCATGAAAAGAGCTGCTGTAATTATTTTTTGTACCTATGGGTCCTTTCCATCTTTTTTAAAAAATCTCTTTGGAGTATAGACCTAATAGTGGCATTGTTAGGTCAAAGCTTTTTGGGCATAGCTCCAAATTGCTTTCCAGAATGGATAGACTGGTTCACAGCTCTACCAATAGTACTTTCATATACCTGTTTCCCCTACCAGCATTTCTCATTTTCCTTTTTTGCTAACTTTGCCAATCTGAGGGTTGTGAGGTGGTACCTCAGAGTTGTTTTAATATGTATTTATTATTTAATTTATTTATTATTAATTTATATTTTAATTTATGTTTATATTTATTATTAATGATTTAGACCATTTTTTATGTGATTATTGATAGCTTGGATTTCTTCCTCTGAAATTTGCCTATTTATATCCTTTGACGTTCTCTCAGTTGAGGGAATGGCTCTTATTCTTATAAATTTCACTCAGTTCCCTATATATCCTAATAATTAGATATTTATCAGAGAAATACTATAACTCTCACCCCTGTCCCAATTTTCCACTTATGTGATAATTTTAGTCACTTTGGTTTTGTTTATGCAAAATTTAAAAAAATTGTATAATCAAAATTGTCCATTTTACCTCCTGTGAACCTTTCTAACTCTTGTTGGTTAGGAACTCTTCCCCATCCATGGATCTGACAGGTAATTTCTTCTGTGCTCCACTAATTTGCCTATGATATCCCCCATTATGTCTAAATCATATACCCATTTGGAGCTTTTCTTGATATATATATGATGTGAGATATTGGTCTATACCTCAGTTACAGTTTTAATACAAACAGGAAAATACAGAAAAAATGTAATACAGGCAGGAAAGAAAGGTCTAAAATATCTACTTATTTATCCAAATCCTGCTTCAGACACTTACTAGATGTCTCACCTTAGGCTTGTCACTAAACCTCTCTGGACCTCAGTTTCCTCATCAGTAAAATGAGGGAGTTGGAATTGATGGCTTCTGAAGAATTTTCTAGCCTTCTACCTATGATACTATGACTCTGACCTTATCCTCATTTTCCAAGAGTGTTAAACAGCGCCATGCTTGTCTTTGCTTCCCTACAGACCTTCTACACAACAGCTTTTACTCTCAGGTCTTCATACACTAATGATTTTGTTCACAGGTGGGAGATCATTTTGTCTCAACTTAATAATCTTGTGTCTTTCTCCTTTAAGGAATAGTAATCATGAATTGGGTTATACTTGGTGAGAAGTGTATAAAATGAAAGGAGAAAAAATAATGCCTTTCTTTACAAAACATAGGTATCGCTGACTACCTCGGTCGGTGTAAGGAAGCCATGGGGAAATTTCAGTCTCTTGTACACCAGATTCATAAAAATTCTGATGATATCACATCCATGCTTGGATTAATAGAAACAGCAAATCTCTTTAAATTCCCAGCTCCTAAAAATGATAAAGAGCTTCCTGGTAAGTTTGACATCTTATTTCTCTATGTTCTGAAGAAAAAAAAAATCTCTTGCTATAACTATGCCCTTTTAACCCCCAAAACTGTCCCAGACATTCAGTAATTTACTTGAGTAGCTTCTGTTTGTGTCATAAATGCCATTGTGAACAAGACATTTTAAAATATTTCTTAAATTTGAGGAACCCTACCCTCAAAGCTTTTGATAAAGAATCTTATACTATTCTTATGGAGAAGATGTTGAAGTATAGGTTGGACCAAGGGTGGGGAACCTGTGACCTTAAGGCTACATGTGGCCTTAAGGCTGCAGGTTCCACCCCTGAGTTGGATAATAATCCAATCAGATTGATTCAGAACTGGTTGGATGACCACACAGAAAGAGGAGTTCAACGTCAACATGGCAGGCGGTCTCCAGTGGAGCATTGAACCCCAGAAATCTGAACTTGACCAAAAGGAACTTGATAGACTGGAGCACTGGGCTGAATTGAATAAGATGAAATTCATTAGGGATAAATATAAAGCTTTACACATGGGCACGAAAATGAAATTTTGCAAGTACTAAAAATAGGGGAGGCGTGGATAGGCGGCAGATGTTCTGAAAAAGATGTGGGGGTTTTTGTGTGCCGCAAACTCAATGTGAGTCAGTTGCGTGATGTGGGATGCAAAAGGGGTGCATAAAGAGAGGCACAGCTTCCAGGAACATGGAGATGATAGCTCCCCAAATTTCATCTGGAGTATTAGATTCACTTTTGGGCACCATGGTTTAAGAAAGACATTTATAAGTTGGAGAGTGTTCAGAAGAGGGCATCCAGGAGGTGCAGGACCTTGACTTGATGTTATGTGAGTATCAGTTGAAAGAACTAGTTAGATAGAAAAAGCATCTATTAAGTGCTTGCTATGTGTCTGAAACTGTGTTAAGTGCTAGAGATGTGTCCTAGAAGACAAGACAGTCCCTACCCTCAAGGAGCTTACGTTCCAGTGGGAGAAGACAATGCACATATGAAGACATGAGAAGGAGGAGTCTGAAGAGTGAATCCAGAAATGAGTGAGGGTAAAGCATGACTGGAATCTTTTCTGAAATGGTCCCAAGGAAGAAGAACAGATCTCAGGGTGGAGGGGAAAATGGCAGGTGAGGAGGAGGAAGAGAAGTCCAGAGCACGAGTCCAGCGTGAGATGGCAGGTTTAGCCAGAAGAGAAGGTGGAAGGGAGCCGAGATAGCTGTCTTCAAGTGTTTGAAAGGCTGTTGTAAGAGGGAGGGATGACATTAATTAGACTGCTCCTCTTTGGCTTGTCGTGTGTCCTTTGTTCTTGCAGAGGACCATGGCGTCAGGGAGCTGATGCCCCGACTTGTGAATTAATTGGATTACAGTGAGGAAGGGCTGTTCAAAGTTACCAGCCTCACTTTCTCCCCCAGAGCCATCTGGGTCCAGTGACAGGATATAGATCAGGATGACTGGAGATGGCCCCGCTTCTCTCTGGCACCACAAGGCAGACCTTGGAGCAGCGGTGCCAGGAATGCATGAATGAAGGTTAGAGGGAGATGAAAGTATGCTAGCTGGGAGTCATAGGTTTGCAGAGATTCAAGCTGCCCAGGAGGAATCAGATAGGAAATGGAGTCTGGAGCAAAAAACTGGCAACAAAGTCTCAGATTAGACTCTAAGAGAGCTCTACCACAGAGAAAACAGTTTAAGCTGTTTTTTGTTTTGTTTTTTGTTTGTTTTTGCTTTTTGGTGAGGCAATCAGGGTTAAGTAACTTGCCCAGGGTCACACACTAGTAAGTGTCAAGTGTCTGAGGCCGGAATTTAATTTGCTTTTCAGAGAAAAAGATGTTGTTTTCTCCCATGGCTCACAAAAGTATTGCTTTCATGCAAATTATTTTTGGATTGTAGAGATGTGAGGCTATTTTATGGAACTGCTTCACTGAATAGAAGAGTGTTTTATTTTTAAATGATCACAGTATTTTATTTGAAAAATGATCAATGAAAATAATAAATTTTATAACTAAAATAAACTAAGTGGACATTAAAGTTTTCCATTATTAATATATACCAGTAAACTTGTGACCTCTTTTGCAGGTGTGAAGGAATTCTTTGAATGTATCGAACGTGAAAGAGCCAAAGATATAGAACACATGGTCAGAAAATACCTTGCTATAGGACCCCTGCTCACCAAAGTGGAGGGCCTAGTGATCCACACAAACACAGGCAAAGCCCCCAAACTGGCTCCTTACTATTTGTATTGGGAAAATAAAATTTATGAAGCCTTGACAAGATTAGTCCTAAAGTAAGTTAATCTAAAAACCCAGCTTGTTTTTTTAATTAATTAATTTATTTTGAATTATCAACCATCACTTCCATAAGCTTTTGAGTTTTACATTTTTCTCCCCTTCCCTCCCCACCTTCCTTCCCAACACGGTGTGCAATCTGATATAGGCGATACATATACATTCCTATTGAACATATTTTCACATTAGTGATGTTCTAAGTAAGAATTAGAACCAATAGGAGGAGCCACCAGAAAGAGGAAACAAAACACAACAGAAGAAAAAAAACTAGCAAATAGTCTGCGTCGATCTGCATTCAAACTCCATAGTTCTTTCTTTGGATGTGGATAGCATTTTCCATCATGAGACCTTTGGAGATGTCTTAGATCCTTGCATTGCTGAGAAGGGTTAAGTCTATCAAAAACCTACCTTGTTTATTTTATTTGTAAACCATTGCTTCTACGCTGGAATCTGTCAGCCACCCTTGCACTGTGGTTGTGATTTCACGGGGCTTGACAGGTAAGAACTGTCTTCCTACCTTGAGATTGTAGGACCAGATACCCTTGCACATCACAAAAATGAACCCAGCCCGTAAACACAAGGCACATACTCATAGTAACTTCACACCTCCCCTGAGTTTAGACTTTCATGGCTATGCTCGATGAACTCAGCTCTTTGGTTTACTTAGCCACACTCACTTTGCTCAGTGGTACCACTTGCAAATCATGGCATCATTTTCCTGATGTCATGGTCCTCTTCTAGAACAAAGGACAAACCACACACACACACACACACACACACACACACACACACACACACACGCTCTGTAGGAGATTAACTGTGAAAATGAGTGTTAGTAGCACAACTAAACCTCTTTCTTTCCCCACACCAGGAATTTGCAGTCATTCAATACTTTGGTTCTTGGGAATGTCCCTTTATTCCAAACTGAAACGATTTTAAGTGCTCCTGAGATAATTCTTCATCCCAGTGCGAATGAGATAGACAAATTATGTGTCCACTGTGTCAGAGACTGTGTAGAAGTTACAAAGGTAAGTACTGTGATGACCTCAGAGCTCCCTTCTAAGCCCTAAATCCCATGTGTATTCTGAGACTGATCAAGTATGTTCTTCCATGTATATGTAACTTCTCTTTTTGGGCCACTGGGTTCTATTATTTAACCCATGAAGGCAGAGTAGTCTCAGTCGATGTATCATTTATTATGTACCAGGCACCACGGGGGAGATAATCCATAAATCACTAGATAAATACTCTCTCTCTCTCTCTCTCTCTCTCTCTCTCTCTCTCTCTCTCCCCCCCTTCCTCTCTCCTCTCTGTCTCTCTCTTTCTCCCCCCTTCCTCCCTCCTCTCTGTCTCTCTCTGTCTCTGTCTCTTTGTCTCTTGTCTCAGTCTCTCTCTGTACACAGAACAGATGAAGGATATCTGAAAGGGGGCCTCTTTAGCGGCTGGTGGGGAGGCAGGAAAGGCTTCCTATAGAAGGTGGGATTGAACTGAGCTGTGTTAGGGAAATTAAGAGGCCGAGGTGATGCGGCAGAGCATTGCAGGCAGTGGGGACTGCCAGTGAGTGCAAAGCAAAGGAAGAGAATAAGCATTTATTAAGTGCCTCTTGTATGGCGAGCACTGCCCTAAGCACTTGACAGACACCTGTAGCGGGAAGAGAACTGGATTGGGGGGTTAGACTCCCTGGGTTCAGATCCTGCCTCTTCTCGGTCCTCTCTGTGTCTCTTTGGGCCTCCGTTTGTGAAGATGGACTCCTATGGACCGGATGATATCTGCGCTTCCCCCATAAGCCCCATAGTTGGGTGCTGCTGCTTCGTGGAGGCGGGAGCTTAAGCCCCCTCATCCAGTTCCTTTTGCCCTGATCCTTTTCCAGAAGCCTGTAAGCATGAACCTGGCTAGCGATTTGGCAAATGTACACAACTAATCACAGTGGGGACTAGGCTAGAGAGTGTTAGAAAGAGAACTCAGAGGATAAGCCATGCTGATGATTCTTTAAATAAAGAAAAACAAGAAATGAATGTTTTCGAGTTGAACTGAATGAAATAGGGCCAGTGAGCTCACAGACCCATGGAGATATAAGATATCAAAATATTTGACAAAGGAAGACTCGTCCTAAAAGATTGGGGAAAACCTCACAAACTTCTGTTTGCAGCCCTGGAGCTGTCCTCCACTCTTCCTTTCCCCTCCCCGCCAAATCCCATCAATCACAAGTCTGGCTGACTGTGCCAGTCCCACTCCTCTTTCGTCCATCTGTCTTCTCTTGTATCGTCTTCATCACCCTCATCGCCATCCGTCTGGATTATCACGATAGCTTCTTCCCTCTTTCATCCACGCTCCACACATCTGCCGCTTGTTTAACTGTGGGCTTCTTCTGCTCAAGAAGAATTAGTGGCTCGCTATTGCCTCCAAGATACTTAGCATTTAAAGTGCTTTAAAATCTGACTCTGGTCCACCTTTCCAGGCTCATTCCCATTACGCATTCTGCATTCCGGCCTGTCTGGCTTTCTTAGTGTTTCCCTGTACTTGACATTCCGTCTCCTTCCTGTCTTCATTTCTCTTCACAGACCATTCCTTGGCCCTGAGGTGTTCTCCAACAGTGTAGAATCCCTGACTTCCTCCAAAGTGTAGCTCAAACACCGCCTTCTCCAGGGAGCCTGCCCTGATCCCCTCAGCTGTGACTGCTTTCCCCCCAGAACTACTATGTATTTGTATCCCAATCCCCACTTACACCAGCATGTCAGCTCCCTAGAAGAAGCTAATCTCTCCTTAAAAGGGTACCCCTGAGTGGTTCTGGTGTCTTTCTAATGCTATCAGCTTGAGCCCCCACTCCAGTGTGTTTTCCTCAATATCAACAGCCTCTTAGAGTTAGTATCTATCTCCCCTTTGTTAATTGATTCAGCGATTAGTGCCCCACTCTCAGTTTGACCAGTTCTTCAGCATCATTGATAAGCAATTAACATCAGTTAGCTTTTATAAAAGTATGTTTACTGAGATGGTATAGCTAGCAGAAAAGCAGAAACATGCCCCTTCAAAGTGGAGCATCCTCTCCCTTCTACTACCTTGGTCCCTAGAGAGAGGAAAGCATTTGTCCCACCAAGTTCACTGCTAGATGTGGCAGTGCCAGTGACCAAGTGCTCCCATGGTCTCAGCTGCCAAGCTGACCTGTTGCCTGGATGGTGCCTCCTCATTGCTCAGCTCTGCTGGGACCTCATCTGGCTGAGCTGTCTTTCTCTTTTTGTTTTTTGGTATGGCACCTGTGATTTCATTATAGGCAGTTCTAGGGAATGCTCAATAAGAAAACACCCTCTACCAATGTAGGTCAATGCACAGTGCTAGAGAGTGGCTTGGGGACATTGAGAAGTTGTTACTTGTTGAAGGTCATGAAGCAGTATGGGTCATCCTGACTCAGAAGATGTTCTTTACCATTGCACCACCTATATTTGTTTTTTTCCTTTTAAAGAGATCTCGTTTGGGGAACAGGGTGTAGCCTGTAATCAGACCAACAGTGTACCCCAGATGACGTCGTTCACGTTCAAGAATTCTTAGGCTTTTTTGTGTCTTGGACCCTTTGGGCAAGTTAGTCTGGTGAAGCCTATGGACCCCTTTTCAGAATTGTATTTTTAGATAATTGGAAGAGCTTGCTGAATTTCAGTTAGAAGTTAGTGAAAATAAAAATGTTATTTTTTCTCCCTATCCAAATGCATGGGCCACCCTCCCTCACCCTCCACCTTAAGAACCCCTATTCTTATCTCTCTTTAGCAAGGAAGAATTAATAAAACTCATTTGCCAGTATTAAAAGCAATGAAAACTTCAAAACCTGTGACCAAAACATTTTTTTCTCCTTTTTTTCCTTGACTCTCTAGCATTTTGTCCGATGGATGAATGGCACCTGCATTGAGTGTCCCCCCCAAAAAGGCGAGGAGGAGGAGCTTGTTGTACTGAGTTTTTATGACGACGTGTTCCTGAACCCCCAGATCATGGAGCAGGCCATCATGATCCCCCAGAACGTGCACAGGGTCCTGGTCAGCCTCATGAAATACCTGAATAAGTGGAAACGCTACCGGCCCCTTTGGAAGCTGGACAAGGCCATCGTCATGGAGAAGTTTGCCGCTAAGAAGCCCCCCTGTGTGGCCTATGATGACAAGCTGCAGTTCTACTCCAAGATCGCCAATGAGGTGACGCAGCAGGCCCTGATCAAGGATGAGCAGTGTATCCGCCTCCAGCTGGGGCCGCTGGCCTACACGGTGCGGGAGAGTGCCAAGTCCTGGATTATTTCTCTGGGGAAGCTTCTTAACGACTCAGCCAGGGAAAAGCTGTTCCTTCTCCACGAGGAGCTCGAGGTATGGGGTGCTCTGTTCCCTCCAATAACAACAACAGAAAAAAATCATTTCATGAATTTTAGTCTTCTCTTTGGACTGTTTCTTTTCCCGCTCAAGATGCCCATAATGTCTCACAACCTTCTCTTTGTAGACGTTGGCAAAAAATCTCAAGAGGCCTCCCACCAGTCTTGAAGACCTCAAATTTGTCCTTGCAACAATTGCTGAAATTAGAAGCAAATCGTTTTTAGTGGAACTGAGATTTAAGGATATTCAAGAAAGATACCGGACCATGGCAATGTATGACCTCTATGTAAGTGATTTTGTATTTCCCTCAGTATTTTTTTGGGTCTCCTTTAGCAAGCTGTTGACTTGTTTTTCATGATTTACTTGCATCACTCTCATTTCTCTTCCCAGTTTTTCCCCTACTTCTCTTCCTTGCTTCTCAAATTCCTTTTTGAGCTCTTCCACGGCCTGGGACCAATTCATATTTTTCTTGGAGGCTTTGGATGTAGGAGCTTTGACTTTGTTCTCTTCTTCTGGTTGTATGTTTTGATCTTCTTTGTCTCCAGAGTAAGATTCTATGGTCTGACTTTTTTTTTTTTTGTGCTGTTTGCTCATGATCACAGCCAATTATTTGAGTTTTAAACTCTTTGTTAAGGTAGGGGTCTGCTTCCAGTGTGGAGAAGGTACTGTCCCAAGCTTCGGGGGTTTTGTGTAGCTGTTTTCAGAGATACTTTTAGGGACCTGTAAATTTTCAGTTCTTCCAAGGTGGTATGATCAAAGGCGAGGTGTTTACTTCTTTCTTGGCCTGTGCTCTGGTCTATGAGTGACCACAAGCACTGTTTTCTGCCTTGGAACTGTGAGAAGGATTCCCTCTCCACCACCACCACAAGCTCCACCACACCAACATTCCTCCTTGCCCCAGGACCGCCACCCAGAACTTTGACTCAGATTCAAACACAGGTAAAGCAAGAGAATCCTGCCTCAGCCCCAGCAAAGAGATCCCTGCAATCCCCATCTGATGAGCCACTCGATTCCTCTTCCATCTGTGGGCTGAGAGCTCTGGAAGCAGCTGTCACCCTAGGACTGCTCCGGGACTGGGGCCCGACCAAGTTCCTCTCTCACCACGGTCCAACACATCTTTCCTACTGACCTTCTAAGTTGTCTTTGGCTTTTGTGGGTTGAGAAGTCTAGAAACCACTACAACTCCTAGTGATTCAGTTCCCTGAGGCCTGCTATAGGTTCACTGAGGCTTAGTCTTTGCCTGTGCACCCACGCTGAACTGCGCTTCTCTCCCAGCCTGGTGCAACAGACCTTTCCAATCAACCATCCACTTTGTCTGGGGCTGGAAATTTGTTTCACTTTGTCTTTTTGTGAGTTCTGCTGCTCTAGAATTTGTTTAGAGCCATTTTTTGCAGGTATTTGGAGGGCTTTGAGGGAGAGCTCAAGCAAGTCACTGCTTTTACTCCCACCATCTTGGCTCTGCCCCTGTTTTTGTATTTCCTAAACATTTTGTGATTGGGCCATGTAACCAAGACTGTTTTTATAAAGATGGCAGATGGCATGTAGTTCTTCTGCCCTCTGGGGTCCCATTTAAGGGAGGGGCTCTTCATTTTTTTAGTGTCTTCATTAAATACTTCCTCTTTGTCCTGTCTGTGGCTTGTTTGGGCACAGCTGTTTGATTGTTGTTTTCCTTATTAGATGTGAGCTCTTTGAGCACAGTGCTTGGCACACAGTAGGAGATTAATAAAGGCTTATAGACTGACTGTCAGTAACCTCTTTGGCCATCTGGTGAAGCCTATGGACCCATTCTCAGAATGATGTTTTTTGATAATGGAAGGAAATGCTGAATTTCAGTTAGAGTTTAGAGGAAATAAAAGTATGATTTTTTTTCTCCATCTGAGTTCACAGACCCTCTCTCTCTCCCCAATCTATCCATAGATAAGGTTAAGAATCAGAGAGAGAGAAAATATGGGAGAAAGGAAGAGAGGGAAGGAGAGGGAGAGGAAGAGGGAGGGAAGGAGGGAGGAGGAGAGAGAGGAGGAGGAAGAAGAAGAGAGCCAGTGAAAAAGAGGAGAGAAAGAGAAAGCATGGAGGAGAGAGAGGAGGAGAAGACGGAAGAGAAAAAGAGAGAGACAGAGACAGTGTTAGTGGACAATAAGGCAATAAATATTTCTTTACTTGAAGAGTTCAAGCCCCATTTAGGGTGAAATGCAAATTTTATTTTTTGAGTGAACGTAGACATTTAACAATCCTTTAACCATTCTTCACGTTTTATCAATTGACAGATATTCATTAAATGCCTATTTTGTGCTGGGTAATGGGGATACAAGGAGAAAAAAAAAAATCTTTGCTCTCAAGGAATTTCCATTTTTCTGGGGTGGAGTGGTAGCACAACAATTTATGCATCTAAATGAATACAAATATATGCAGAATAATTTCCCTTTGGGGAGGGTGATGAGGAAAAGCATGAGCTGAGTCTGAAAGGATCTCCAGAGGCAGAGGTGAGGAGGGAAGGCATTCCAGGTATGTGGGACAGTCAATGCAAAGGCCCAGTGGTGGGAAATGGAGGGTGGTGTGTGAGGAAAGGCAAACAGGCCATTTGGGCCAGATCATAGAGTGAACGAAGGGCTCTCGTGTGTAATGAGGCTATAAAGAAGAGAATTTGAGGGGCAGCTAGGTGGCTCAGAGGAGTCAGGAAGACCTAAGTTCAAATGTGGCCTCACACCAAACACTTGATACTTACTAGCTGTGTGACTCTGGGCAAGTCACTTGACCCCAGTTGCCTAAAAAAAAAAAAAAAAAAAAAAAAAAGAAGAGAATTTGGACCTAGATTATGGAAGGGTTGAAATGCCAGACAAAGGAGTTTATAGTTTTTTAGAGGGTGGGAAACAGTAGATACACACAACTATGAAGTTTTGACTGAACTCGCTGCTCTCTTATGGAGCTCTGGAGGGACAGCTTCCAATCCTTTAGCTGGGGGTCCACTGGCCAGAGCATAGCAGAAATAAAGTAAGTGGCGAACCTGATACTGTTGGAACTGGAGCCTTTGTTGGAACAGGCCTGTGTAAGGCATTTCCTGGGTTGTTTCCTGGCTTACCGTGCAGCCAGGGCTAGAAAATAAGTCCTGACGGAAGAATGAGAGGGACAGGAAGTAAGCTCCCATCGGAGACTGGTACTCTGAGTTCTTCCCCATCTACTCTCTGCCTTGTTTCTCATCAGCCTGGTGAAGCCGAGGGGGAGCTAGCTTCACAAATTGAGGATATATGGAAAAATCTGTTTGCAGAGTCAGTGGAAGTTGAACACTCTCTTGGGGGCATAAAGAAGACCTTTACAGAGGTACTTTTTTGGTTTTACATTGTAAATACAAAGATAGAAAATGGGGAAATGAAGGGATGGGGTGTGGCACAGTAGGACAAGCCTGGGGTAGCCCAATGTGGAATTGTGCACTGGACTTGGAGTCAGGAAAACTTGGATACAAATCCCACCTCAGGAACTAGCTGCTTGACCTTAGGAAAATCACCTAACCTTTCTGAGCTTCAATTTTTTCATCCTTAAAATGGAGATAGAATATAAATGGGATTGTTGTGAGGATAAAGTGACACCCGTGTAAGTGCTTTTCAGATCTTTAAAGCTATAAACATTACCTCTTAATCCTTCTAGGCCTTAGTCAGCACATCTGCAAAATGGGAACAATAATGTGTGCCCTACATCCCTCAACAGTTATGTAAGGAAAGTGCTTAAATCTTTAAAAAAAACCCACAAAAAAGCAATTTTAAAAACTGTAAGATGTTATACAAATGTGAGTTATTCTCATTATTATTATTATAATAACTAATGATCTAAATTGCTTTTCTCAGATCACTCGAACTGAAATTGTAGATTACAGTCGTGAGATACAGGACTTTGCGAAACGTTTTTATAAGGAAGGCCCTGGTTCAGTTGGTGAGGATCTTGATAAAGGTGAGGAAATGGCTGGTTATCCTTGAGATACTCAGGTCAATTATAGGTAAAAATTTCATGTGAGAAACAGTCACTGGCTATTCATGAAATTGCCAGAGTTTCCTAGGCATAGAAGTATTTTTCTGATATCATTTTCTGAGATATTTATAATAGATATAAATATGGAACCAAGGGTCAAGTCAGGTTGTCGACGAGCATTTATTAAATGCCGACTGTGTGCCATGCACACTTTTCTCACTCACAGTCCACTGGGAGATTCAACTCGCAAATAACTATCCTCAAGCAAGATTATATGGAATACACTGGACGTAGTCATTAGCATTGGAGATAATCACTAGCATTGAGGGAAATCAGGATCACCTTCTTGTAGAAGGTGAGATTTTCGCTGGGACTTGAAGAAAGCCAAGAAAGCCACGAGGCTCAGATGAGGAAGGAAACTCTAGGTATGGGAAACAGCCAGGGAAAATTCCCAGAGTCGGTAGATGCAGTATCTTAGCAAGGGGAAGCCCTATTTGTGATTGAGCACTTTACAAACCTTTTTCCAGGAATGGAACTCTTAGCTATGTTCGAGAAGGAGTTGGTGAAGCATGAAAGAAACCGGCAGGAGCTGGCTAATGCCGAAAAGCTCTTTGATCTTCCAATTACAATGTATCCAGAACTGTTGCAAGTACAGAGGGAAATAGCCGGACTGAGGCAAATCTATGACATTTATAACGCACAGAAGGTAAGTGACCCCATGAACAGGCGGGCGGGGGGAGAAATGCCAGAAATTCCTTGGCTCAGCAGACATTAGGCTCATCCCAAGACCAGGAGAGGGCTTCCCAGGTTTTGTTTTCTAAGACTTTTACCCTTTGTTGTGCTGGGGGTTGGGAGGTGGGAGGGAGGGAGGGTTGTGTGAGCAAACCAATCCTTGGCTTGTAGGCCAAGATCCCAGAGAGTAAGTAAATGGTCATTTTGACGCTTCACGTGGATTCAGGCTATTGTCTATACCACAACTCATAATAACTCTGAGTGCTATCTCAACCAGCTTAAAATGTAATGGGGAAATGTTTAACAAAATGAATAAAAGTACAACATAGATTGTGTTAATTTGAGGTTTTCCAAGTCAATATGTGCCCCCTCCCCCCCACCTGCCAGAAACCCTTATCTATTTGAGTTTGACCCCACTTGTCTACACTATCCCCCAAACAGTTGAAATGTGAAAAATATAGTCAGCTATTTTTTTTCTGGTATCTTGTAGATTAGAAATGCATGTATAAATCATATATTTTAATTGAGTTCAGTCATATCAATGTGAGCTTAGCCAAGCAGTTGAGGAGTTGGGAAGGGACTCGAATGGTCAAGGCCCAACCAGGACCTTGGACGGGGTAGTTGTGCTTGCAAACCTCTGGTAGGACTGAGCAGCAGTCTCCCATGGCAGCCCATCCCCCTTTTGGTCAGTTCTGATTGTTAGGAAGTTCTTTCCGACATCCAGCCTAAATCCAGCTCTTTGTAATCTCCACCTAGTTCTGCCCTCTGGGTGCAAGCAGAACAAGGCTATTCCCTCTTCTCCTGGACAGCCTGTCACTACTGGAAGATGACTGTTAGTTAGGCTCAATTACTCTCAGTTCAAATCAGCACATATGTGAGTGGCTGCTGGGTACAGAGCACTGTGTGCAGGATTCCAGGGGAGGCCTCAGCTTAAATAAGGAATAGTTTCTAAGCAAATGGAGCTCATAGTCTCGGTTTTTTGTAAGCCTTTTGGTGCTAACATTAGCTATTTAGATAATAACTGACATTAATAATATATTATTAATAAAAATTAAATAAATAATATTATAGTTTAGATAATTTATATGATATGTGATAAATATAATATATTTATATATGAAATACAATATATTTATAATATATAATATATAGTATGTAGCACATAGTATATAACATATAAATAAATATATAAAATATAAAAATAAACACAAAATTATATAATAAACAAAAACAAAAAGTTAAATAATTAAAGATTAATAATAATATATTAATAATAATACTATAGATAATAACTGACATCGTGCTTTAAGGTTTGCAGAGCACTGTACATGCATAGATTACAGTGGCTGCTTTAAAGAACAAGCCTTTTCTGTCTCTTTGGAAGCTCAAAAAACTTGTTTTTTATACCTGTTGCATGTTCTTCTGTACAGTGGGCATGTGCTTGTGAAGCCTAAAGTCAGAAACTTTTTTTTCTAAGATTTTTAAAAGTGAAAAAAAAAAAAGACAGTGAAATTAGACTTTTGTATTAGAAAAGTCAGTTGTCCAGGGATGTCTTGCTGACCGGACCTGCTATGTTTTCATAGGCTGCCAAAGAAGAGTGGTCTCAGGCACTGTGGGCTAACCTGAACGTTCAGTTTCTCCAGGAAGGAATTGATGGCTTCCTCAAAGCCCTCAGAAAACTTCCCAGGCACGTGCGGAGCCTGACAGTCGCTTTTTATTTGGAATCCAAAATGAAGGCGTTTAAAGATTCCATTCCTTTGCTGCTGGACTTGAAGAATGAAGCTCTGAGAGAGAGGTCTGTTGTATTGTGTTGTAGGCCTTTGGTTCTAAACAACTCCTTCCCCTCCCCCCCCAATTTACAGATGAAGAAACTGAGGCACAGAGAGGCGCTCAGGGTCACATGACTAGTAAGTGTCTGATACTGGATTTGAACCTGGGTCTTCCTGACTCCCATTTCAGTGTGGGTACTGTGGGTCCCCTCGTGCTACAGCTCCACAGTGCCACCTGTTGGTAAGTAACTTCATGGCCAAAGAGGCCAAATCCCCAGAGACCAGCGTGATGATGCTCTCTTTGCAGTGTCACCTGTGGGCTGAGCTCTGCTCTCACACTGCAAGGGAGAAGCCTGATGAGGGGAGGTCATCTTGTCAACCCTTCTTTATTTTATTTATTTATTTATTTTTGGTTTTTGTTAGGCAATGAGGTTAAGTGACTTGCCCAGGGTCACACAGCTAGTGTTATGTATCTGAGGCCGGATTTGAGCTCAGATCTTCCTGACTTCAAGGCCAGAGCTCTATCTACTATGCCACCTAGCTGCCCCCAACCTTTCCTTATTAAAAAAAAAGTCTTACCGTTATCTTTTGATTTTTACATACAATAATTTCTCAATGTTCCTTTTCTTCCCACTGAATCTTCCCTTGTAGCCAAGAAAAATGGTTAAGCAGAACTGATTAATAAAGCTTCTGACTTCAGCTAAAGTCCTTGGCTGGGGGCTATTTACTCTTTATAGGAGGATGAGTGTGCTCTGCCATGCTCTTTTAGTTGAAAGCCTGGATGCTTTCTTTGTGATGCTTTTTAAAAGAAAAGACAGAAGCTCTAACACATTCATAGGAGTAGGCTATTATTTGTCCTTTGCTCTCGAAGAGGACCATGATAGCAGGGAGGTGATGCCATGACTTGCAAGTGAGTTGGATTTAAGTGAGGCAGGGCTATGCAGGGTGACCAGCCTCACTTTCTCCTCCAGAGCCATCTGGGTCCAGATCAGGATGAATGGAGATGACCCCCCAGAGTAGGCAAAAAACAACCAGAGCACCCACATTCTCCTTCCATTGGGAATGGTCTATCTGTTTCTTTCAGAGCCTTAACTAGAAGAGACTTTTCTTTCCAGAAGGAGAAGCTTTGTTCCAGCTACTGACCTCTTCAGAACACATAGCAGAACTGCTTATTCTTAGTTCTTACAGGCTTGATCCTGTTTTCTATTTTTTGAATTGTATTTTCTGGTCATTAGGGCTTCCACCTCTATCTAGCTTAGGGCTAGGAAATCTGTGTGGCTGCCTGTTTAATTTCCAGTAGCTAAACTTTATCTAGCTATCATCCACGTAGAGGTTACCCTCTCAGCACCCTGCCAAGCCTTTGTGATTTGGAATCCCCCAGCTTTTTGGTTCCAAAACTTTTTTCTCTTCCATGAACATGAATGGAAGGTAGGACAGCACTGGAACAAAACTAAGCCCCGGGGCAGGTATTGGTCTTCCCCACCTAGTGATATCCCTGAGTTTATTAGGTTTCTTTTTGAGCCCACCCTTATACAAGCACAAGGAAAGAAGAACAAGTAGGTTGAGTGTCAGCAGCCTTTCTTGTAGATAGGGTCTCGACAGCATGACGTTTGAGTGTTTGCTCTTGGGCTGGGTACTGGCAGTAAAAAGCCTGGTGGTAATCGTTCAGGGAGCTGGGGCACTGGGGGCAGAGGGTAGCAGAGGAGCTGTTCACAGTAAACAAGAACAGCACCGTGCAGATCCCCTGGGTATGACTCCCTTGAGTCATGTTTGCTCTCCTGCCTGAAGAATTTCAGTGTCGTGATCATTCTGTTCTGCCTCCAGCCTATTCCACACAGTCTGCCACTTACTCCTCTGGGCAGGAACCTTCAATGGTTCCCTACTACTGCTAGGATAAAATGCAAAACTCCTTCTGTGGATTTGCCTTTAAAACCCTTCCCAGCCTGGCTCCAGCCTCCCTTTTAGAGGTTTGTTTCACATGACTCCCTTTCATGTAGTCAGTGTTCCAGCCCAACTCTTTGCTTGCTGTTCCCCAAATTCAGTATTGCCTCTTCTGCCTTCCCTGCCTTTTCCCAGGCAGTGCCTCACGCCTAGGCTTCCACCTCTTAGAGTCTCTGCTTTCCTTCAGGGCTCTGCCAATGTATCACCTCTTTTGGGAAGCCTTTCCTGACTTCCCCAGTTCTTAGTGTTCCTTCCCTCCTCTAGTTATCATGGATACACACACACACACACACACATACACATACATGTATGTGTGTATATATATGTGTTACATATATTTGTCTTTATTCATGTTTTTATATTTTATTTAGTATTTTATTTTTCCCCAGTCACGTGAAAAACAATTTTTAACATTCATTTTTAAAACTTTGAATCCCAAATTCTCTCCCTTCATCCTTCCCCACCTCCCTATTCATGTTGTTTTAATATCCTTTTATTTCCAGTGCCTAGGGGTTAGGCAGCAAACATTTGTTAAGTACCTACAGATATGTATTGGTACACAGTAGGTGCTTAACAAAATGCTTCTTAGATTGAATTGTAAATTATTTGTATACTTGGGCATTGTTTCCTACCTGCTAGACTAGAACACCCCTTAGGGGCAAAGATTTTGTTTAATTTAAAAAAAATCTTCATTCTCGTCTCCTCCCAATCCCTGCCCACTCAGTGCCTTATACATGGTGGGCACTCAGTATTGGTATAAATGAATGACACTGTATTAAGACTTAGCTGTGCATTTAATGGTTCATTTTCAGACACTGGAAAGAACTTATGGAAAAAACTGGCATATTTTTTGAGATGACAGCTACATTCACGCTGGAAAACATGTTTGCCATGGAACTTCACAAGCATACAGATGTTATCCAAGAGATTGTGGTTTGTGCTGTCAAGGAAATCACCATTGAGAAGGTGAGGATGCTGATTTTCAAATATAAAAAACCCCGGAAAAATGTATTTCTGCTCCAAAAGAGGCTATTCGATTCCTGTTATTCCTGATTTTTGTTGTTGTTCAGTTGTTTCGTTCATGTTCAACTCTTTGTGACCCTTTTGGGGTTTTCTTGGCAGAGATACTAGAGTAGTTTGGCATTTCCTTCTCCAGCTCATTTGACAGATGAGGAAACTGAGGCAAACAGGGTTAAGTGACTGGTCCAGGGTCACCCAGCTAGTAAGTGTCTGAGGTCAGATTTGAACTCAGGAAGATGACTCCAGGTCCAGCACTTTATGCACTATGCTGCCCCTTAGCGGTCATTACTCCTGATACTCGTTCAGAAAACAATTTCTTGATCTGAACATTTCCTTTTGTATAAGTTCTGTTTCCCCAGTAGAACGTAAGCTCCCTTGAGGGCAAGGGTTTTTAAAAAAAAATTTTTTTTAAAAATTTTTGTTTGACTTTTTTTTTTCCTTGGTGCCTACCACAGTGAGTCTTTGGTGAATTGAATTGCATTGAATTCTACTTTCAATTGCCCCAAATAGTAGAACTGAAATTTAGAGCAGACTTGAAGAGTGTTGCGCCTTGCCAGCTGTATTCAGAGTGATTCTCCGCCATTTTACAATCCAGACAAACTGGCCTTTTTTGCTGTTCTTCATTTGGGACATTCTCCCATTCCCATATCCCATGGGACGCTCCCATCTCAGGGTCTTTCCATAGCCTGCCTGTCCTTTCTGCTTAGCGGGTCCTCCCCAGGTTCCTTCAGACCAAGCTCCCTCCTGGCCTTCCTCTGCAGGCCACCAGCCCCTCTCTCCCTCTCCTGGCCAGGTTACTTCAAAACTGTTTTGTAGCATTTTGCCTGTAGTGTTCTCTCCATGTGTGTTGGCCCCCTCTTAAACCTGAGACTTGTTTGTATGCCTAGTAATTAGCGCACAGTAAGCACTTCATGGATCTGATTGATTAATTGAACCAATTTTTTTGTATCCACCAACAGGGTGTCAAGGACATATTAGACACGTGGGAAAACATGAAATTTTCTGTCATTAAGTACTTTAAAGGAACTCAGGAGCGAGGATACATTCTGGGATCAGTAGATGAGATCATTCAGTGCCTTGATGACAACACTGTCAACCTTCAGAGCATTTCAGGAAGCAGATTTGTGGGGCCCTTTCTGACGACCGTGCACAAATGGGAAAAAACTCTCTCCTTAATTGGTGAAGTTATTGAGGTAAGGAACAAAAAATCCAGGAGCGGCTCACGCCGCCAGGCTCAATAGGGCCAGGAAAGGGCGTCCTCATCCTCGTCATCATCGCTAACATCGATGTGCTTTTTATCGATGCCTTCCCCGTCTCGTAGCCCGTCCGTCAGTCAGTCGAACATTTGGAGTCCTCAGAGGGAAGTAGTTTGAGATTAAGGCCGGAAAGGGAGGTTGGAGGCAGATTACAGAAGGCCTAGAGCCCAAGAGTTAATATCTTCTTTGATAGCCAGTAGAGAATTGCGGAAGATTTTCAAGGGGAGATTTTCAAGACACTCCACCATCTGGCTACCGCCTGTCTCTGTAGCTTGGTTTCACAGTACCCTGTCTCGTCTACTCTCACTTCCAGCCCAACTGGGCTCATTACCACCCCTGTTCTTGTCCTGCCCTCTCTGTAGTCTTTGCTTCTGTTCATCCTGCTGCTCACTCTTGGAGCACGCCCTCCTTTATCTCAAACTCTGGAGACCCTTCTTTCCTTGGGCTACCTCCTCTCGGAAGCCTTCCTTGATCACCTCTTCCCCCAGCTGAAAGGGATTTCTTCCATCTCACATTTCTCATCACACTTTCAAGTCATTTATCATTCTTCGTACATCCCGCCTTGTACCACAGTTATTTGTGTACATGCCTTCCTCTTTTATGTGAGGCCGCTAGGTGGCGCCATAGTGCATAGAGTGCCAGGCCTAGAATCGGGAAGACTCTAGTTCAGAATCCTGCCTCAGACACTTACTAGCGGTGTGACCCTGGGCAAGTCACTTAACTTCTTTTTGCCTTAGTTTTCTCGTCTGTAAGATGGGAATAATAATAGCACCCACCTCCCAGTGCTGTTGTGAGGATCAAATGAGATGATAATTGTCAAGCACTTAGCACAGTCCCTGGAACACAGTAAGTACTCTCTGAGTGTTAGCCCTCATTAACTATTATTATTTGATTTGAAGGCCCTTGAGGACAGGATTTGATTTCATCTTTTTGGGCCTAGGACACAGCAATTCCTTGTCCCTCATAGATGGTGAATAAATATTTATTGAATTAAGTAATAAACAGGGGAGGATTATGGTCATGAAGTACTAATAAATTAACTCATTGTTTCGTAACATCTCACAGCATTGTTGAGAAACTCAAATGAGATAATCTAGGTAAAGTGCATTGTAAGTCTTAAAGTACTATATAAATGCCTACTATCATTATTATATTATTCATTATATTAGTTAATTTATAATTATTATCTTAATTATATAACATTGTATTAATAATTATTATGATATATACTTTACTAGATAGATTTTGTGGATGTATAGAATTCACAGTTCTGTGCTGATAATAATATTGTACACTTCTAGATATGGATGGTGGTCCAGAGGAAGTGGATGTATCTTGAAAGCATATTTATTGGTGGAGATATACGGTCACAGCTACCGGATGAGGCAAAGAAATTTGACAACATTGACAGAGTCTTTAAAAGGGCAAGTAATCTAATAATGATTAATAGTTAATTATTATCATTCTAATAATTAAAGAGATGCAGATTCAAGCAACTTTTATGCACTACCTAATACCTATCAAATTGGCAAAAAAGAATAAAAAGCAACCAAACTCATTGCTGAGAACTTGTGTAGAAAAAGATGTACATATGCATTGCTGGGGGGATCGTAAAGTCACAGAAACTCTGTGGAGAGCCATCTGGCAGTATGTAGTAAGAGTTACTAATCTAGTCATATCCTTTGACCCAGTGATTCCATTAGTGAGGGTATATCTTAAAGGTATTAACAAAATCAAAAGTAAAAAAAAATTAACTGTGCAAAGATTTTTCATGGCTGTATTCTATGTAATTTAAAAAATATATAACCTAAATGTCCAGTGTTAGGAGGATGGTTAAATAAATTATGGAACATTAATGTAATTGAACACTATAATGACATTAAGATCGACAAGTGTGAGACAAAGAAATCTAGAAATCTAGAAAGACCATACTGAAACAATGTAAAATAAAAAAAAGCAGAGCTGAAAGAATGGATAGTGATAAGAGGAAAGAAATGATAATAAAGAGATACAGAATACTCATGGAGACATAAAGAGAGGGATTGAAATAGTAATTTGATGCTTTAAGTGTTGCAATTAATTAAATGTAAATCATTATGAATCAAATTTAGCTTTTTGTGTTTACATTCAATGTTAAATTTCTAATAAATGACTTAATAATGTAGAAAAGGGGCAAAAATTAGACAGCTTTTTTAGTCATGGTCAGGGTAGAAAGAAAACTAGCTGAGATACACTTTCTCCTTTTTTTGTGTGTTTGGCTCTGCATTTGTGTGGATTTTTTTCTTTGTCCTGGTTTTTTTTGGAGGGGGGAGAGGAGCTCAGATTTGTGAGTTCACGGGTGAAGGAAGCAGATGCACCGCTGCTTTGCCTGAGAGGGGGTGAGGAGCGTACCCAGGGTTCCCATCAGAAGTGGACTTGGAGCGGGGTTTTCCTAGTTCTGAGCTGGCTCTGCGTTCCCTCACCAGGCTGCTGCCTCTTGTCGTTTGCATGGTATTTAGCAAAAGGGAATTGGGGGTTCAGCAACTGATCTGAAACTTGAAGCATTTTGCATGAATTGCGTTTGGGCATCTCATCTTCTTTGTATTTTAATCTGGTTACGAGCGCAGAGTCTGCAGCTCAGCTGGGCACTGCATGGTATTGGTGGGTTTGACACTGGTGGGGATCACCAAGTTTTCCCCTGCTTTATCCACTCCAGACCTGGATGAAGGGGTCTTGCAGGTGCCTATTTCGGCCACAAGGGGGCGCTTGATCAATAGAATGTTGTTCAGTCATGTCCAACTCTTTGTAACCCTGTGGACCATACTGTCCATGGGATTTTCTTGGCAAAGAGCCTGGAGTGGTTTGCCATTTCCTTCTCTAGTAGATTAAGGCAAGCAGAGGTTAAGTGACTTGCCCAGGGTCACACAGCTAGTGAGCATATGAGGGCATGTCAGGAGCATTGCCACCCTATGTGAAGGCCAGAATTTGAAAAACATTAATTACGTAGAATGCGTTGGAGCTAGCCCCCAGTCATTCTTGTCTGAAATCTCTCTGTCTGGCCTTGGGCAGATCATGACCGAGACCTGGAAAGACCCCGTGATCAAGAAGTGCTGTGAAGCTCCGAACCGGCTGACCGACTTGCAGAACATAAATAACGGACTTGAGAAATGCCAGAAAAGCTTGAATGACTATCTGGACTCCAAGAGAAACGCCTTCCCGAGGTTCTTCTTCATCTCCGACGACGAGCTGCTCAGCATCCTGGGTAGCAGCGACCCGCTCTGTGTCCAGGAGCACATGATAAAGGTCAGGCTCCCTGCCTCTTGGGGTCGAAAGCTGGGGGTCCTCCCTGGGCGGGGTCAGAGACACCGCCCTCGTCACTCGGTGACCAATCAGCTGTTTTCCTGGGAAATGCAAAGCTTTCGAGTGGAAATGGATTGGATTCGTTGATTTGGAATCATACCTGATAGAAAGATTGCTCCGTTATTTCTGGTTTTCCATGGTGGCAAAAATACAGTGAGACCGAGGTGATCATGTCTGATTGGAGCCAGAGATGCTATCTGCTGTCTCTGGTGTTCTTATTCCTAATTATTCTTACACTGTGAAGTTTGGTGTCATTTATTTAAAGGCTTAAAAAAATTCTGTACTTAAACACCAAAAAAGAGAGCATTTCTATACAGTGCACAGCAGAATGCAAAAAGCGGTTTCTATGTGAAACCATGAATCTCCAATTGACACTGCTTGCTTTAAAAAAAAACAGAAACAAAAACATAGAACAGATATGTTACTTTCAAAATTGTCCTACTTGTCTGTGTTTCCCTCAGAACTTATTTCTGCTCTCCTCAGCCCTCTTTTTTGGGGGGCATGCCAGTTTTTAAAATAACCCCTCCAATATAGTATCCTCCTAGCTATTCTTGGAGTTATTGAAAGGGTGAACCAATATGCATCTATGAAAATATTTGAGAGTCATTACTGGAGTTGTTACGAGCAGATGTCTTTCAATTAAATTCATAGCTCTGTGTCAAACTAGAGCTCTCATCTTTCTCAAAATTCTGCTTGGCTTTTCTTCTCATTAAACTTTTGCTTTGAGTGGAAATGAAGCTGTTCTTTTTTTGGCTAGTCAATGGGGTTAAGTGACTTTCCCAGGGTCACACAGATAGTAAATGTCAAGTGTCTGCAGCCGGATTTGAACTCAGGTCCTCCTGACTCCAGTGCTGGTGCTCTAGCCACTGTGCCACTTAGCTGCCCCAAAATGAAGCTATTCTTGAGCTGTTGTCACCATTCATTGCCTTAAGATGTTTTCTAGGGGGCGTAGCTAGTTGGCAAAGTGGATAGAGCACCAGCCCTGGATTGAGGAGAACCTGAGTTCAAATCCAGCCTCAGACACATGCCACTTACTAGCTGTGTGACCCTAGGCAAGTCACTTAACCCCATTGCCTAGCCCCCCCCCCAAAAAAAAATGTTTTCTAGGGGAAAAAGTCCTATTTTGAAAGAATTTGAATGTAATGCCTAAGCCAACATTTCCCTTTCACAGGATAATTAGGTTGGTTTTGATATTATCCTCTTTTGCAGAACTTTAATTTTATTCTGACATATTAACATTCTTTAAAACTTGTTGTGTGCCTGGTGGTGATGCGTGCCTGTAATCCCTACTATGAAGCTAATGAATTGCTTGAGCTCAGGAGGGGAAGGAGAGAATAAGCATTTATATAGCACCTACTGCTTACCAGGCACCGAGTACTTTACAAATATTATCTCATTTGATCCTCACAACAACCATGGGGAGTAGGTGCTATTGTTATCCCCATTTTACACAGAAGGAAACTGAGGCAAACAGAGATGCAGTGACTTACCCAGGGTCACACAGCTATTTGTAAATGTCTGAGGCTGGATTTGAATTCAGGTTTTCTTGATCTAGGACCAGCATTGTTTTATGCACTGCACTAACTAGATGCCTCTACCTCATGAGCTTTGGAGCAGGGTTTTAGCTGATCAGCTATCCTCCTAAGTCTGGTACTAGTATGGCAAGCCACTGGGTTGCCTAAACAGAGGCAAACCAGCCCCCATTTGAAAAGGAGCTAGTCAAAGCTTCTGTGTCAGTCAGTCAACCATGGTACAGGGCCTGTAAGCAGCTGCAGAGCTTCCAGCCTGGGCAGGTTAGAAAGACCAAGAACTGCAAGCAAGCAAACAAAAAACCCTGGGGTTTTACGTGACAGATGTGCAAGACGTCTTTCTTTTTGATGATAGCCCCCTGGTTATATTCACATAACTGAATATCTGAATATCTGTTTCTGGCTGCCACTTTCTGTTTATTGCTGCACTCCTCTCCCCCGCAAGGGAATCTTTGATAGTTGAACATATTTGAATCTTACGTGACGTCCGGTGATTCTACAACAGGATGCAAATACAGCTGTGCTTTCTTCCTGTGGGATTTTACAGATGTATGATAATATAGCATCACTGAAATTTCAAGACGGTGATAGTGGTGAAAAACTGGTGACCGCGATGATTTCGGCAGAACAAGAAATAATGAATTTCCGAAAGATATTGAGGGCTGAAGGGCGCGTGGAGGACTGGATGACGTCAGTTTTACATGAAATGAGAAGAACAAATAGATTAATTACCAAAGAAGCTATTTTTAGATACTGTGAAGACAGAAGCAGGTGATGTGATAATCTTTTTTTTTTCCCCAGGCAATTGGGGTTAAGTGACTTGCCCAAGGTCACACAGCTAATAAGTGTTAAGTGTTTGGTCTGAGGCTGGATTTGAACTCAGGTCCTCCTGACTTCAGGGCCGGTGCTCTATCCACTTCACCCCCTAGCTGCCCCATGATGTGATAATCTTAAAACATGTAAATGTATTATACTAATTTAGTAATTTAGCTGTCACAAATAACTATTAATGGTTTAGACTTAATTTATAGACAGATCATAAGAAACAGATTGGAGTAGTTCAATATAAGTGATATGAAGTATACCTTTAGGTGATAACTTGCCAAATTAACAGAAGCAAAACTTATAATGAGGCTAATTTTTATTTATGAAGGTGAGTTCTAGCACATTCAGTTCAGTTGAACACATTGATTAGATGTCCGCTGTGTGCAGAGTACAGGTGGGTGCTGGGGAGGCAGGGCATACAACGTTTAGCTAAGGCAGGGTCTCTGCCATCATGAAGCCCACAGGTTAGCATGGCAATAAGACATAGACGAAAGCAGCTATGAATTGTAATGCATTAGAGAGGTGCCAAGTAAAGTGCTGCTTGAGGTTTAGGGGTGAAGTCATTAACCTTGGGAGGATCAGAGAAAGAAAGGTTCATGGAGAAGGTGGCATTTGAGTTAAACTTTAAAAGACAGATGGGAATAAGGGAGAAGAAGGAGGAGGAGGAAGAGGAGGAGATTTCCAGTTTTTGGAAATAGTGTGAGCCGGAGGCACAGAGGTAGACAGCACAGTTCATATTCAGCGTAGTCCAGTTTTTCTGTAGCATAAAGTATATGAAAGGACATAATATAAAATATCTGGAAAAACAGAATGGTGCCAGATTAGGTAGGGCCTTGAATACCAGAGAGCTGGGGTTTGAACGTTACTTAGGCAAAAGGGAACCACTGAAAATTTTTTCTTTTAAAAAAATTATTGATTTCTCCATTACTTACATTTACCAATATGCACCTCTCCCTCTTCTTCTCAGGGAACCATCCCTTGTACAAAAAAATAAAAACAGATTAAAAAAACAATTCAGCAAAACCAACCAAGTCTGACATTACATACTATGCCCCACACTCAGAGATCTCCTACCTCTGCACAGTAGGAAAGGAGGGGCACCCTCGTATTTCTCTTTTGGGTCATTATAATTTTATTGCATTCAGCAAGGAGGGGACCAGTTCACAGAGATGTTGAGCTAGAGGGACAAATTAGACACAGTGGAGATGCATGGTCTCCTTTGATTGTAACAGCCCTTCTTGGGATGTTTGGATCTAATTTGCTTTAAATGCTACTGGAGATAAAAGTGATTTCTCTCTAGATCACTGAACCCAGAGAGCCTTCCACCTCCATATCTGAGTCTCTTGGCGCTTTGCAAAGAAGCCCTTGTTTAGCTCAGGCATGATGACCTTAGATCATACAAGGTCATCAAGCTATCTCCAGGAAACTTGTCTGAGCCTTTATCTGTCTAGATGAGAGAGTTGTTATTCTCTCCTTTTACCTTATGAAAGCACCTTCACACACACACTTAACCGTTTCAGTGCCTTCAGGACCTTTTCTAGTTGGTTTGACTTTGTTGATGGTCAAGGGTGAAAGCCACATATCCTAGTCCACACCACACACTCTTGTACCATGGGAGGAGACCGTTCTCACTTTTTTACTTTCGTTGCACCTTTCTGAAGATGCCCAATGTTTGTAACATACATTATATAACACATTGATCTAACATCATCAAAAGATGTCTATGACATGGGTTCTTAACCTGAGGTCCATGAATTTTTTGTTTTCCCTATATCTTGGTAACTGTATTTCAGCTTAGTTGTCTTCCTTTGTAATGCCACAAATTTTATTGTATGCTTTTAAAGGCATCATTCTGACTAGGGTTCATGAGATGGCTAGAGAGGTCCATGACACCAAAAAGGCTAGGGATTCCTGATGTCAGTGACTCTGGCGTTGGAAGTTATAGCTCTCATACCCCATAATATTTCAAATATGGTTTAAAATTTTTTTCCTTAAATTCATTCCCTCACACTTGCTGATATTGAAACTAATCTGCTGCTTTTCTAAACGTACACGGAAGCACCTAAGAATTCCCGCTGATTTTACTGTCTTCTTTAAAGCAGCATGCTGCACGGGAAAGAATTCTGGATTTGGACTCTAACAACTTGTGTTTAGGTCAAGGGTGGGGAATCTGTGGCCTTGAGGCCTTTGTGGCCCTCTGGGTCCTCACGTGTCGTGCTTAGTTGGATTCAGTCAAAGGGCCGCACTTGAGGACCTAGAGAGCCACATGTTTGGATTCAGTCAAAGGGCCGCACTTGAGGACCTAGAAGCCACATGTTTGGATTCAGTCAAAGGGCCTCACATGAGGACCTAGAGGGCCACATGTTTGGATTCAGTCAAAGGGCCGCACTTGAGGACCTAGAAGCCACATGTTTGGATTCAGTCAAAGGGCCGCACTTGAGGACCTAGAGGGCCACATGTGGCCTCGAGGCCACAGGCTCCCCAACCCTGGTTTAGGTCCTGGTTTTGCCATAAATCACTTTGCTTTTGGGCTTCAATTTCTTCATCTCTAACACGAGGGTGTAAGATTAAATGGTTTCTTAGTTTCCTTCCATTTCTAGATCTATGATCCTGTTAGGACAGCTTAGAGGCATCTGTGTGCTTCAATAAGCGATCAACAGCAAGCATATATTAAGCACCTACTACGTGCTAGCACCGTACTAGGCACTAGGGACAAAAAAGTAAAAATGGATTAGCTTGTTTTCTCCTGGAGGAGATAACACGTTCATATATATTTATATACAAAATACATACAAAGTAAATAAAAGGTAATTTAAGAGAGGAAGGAAATGGAGAAGGCTTATTGAAGATGAAATATAAGCGTATTAAATAAGACTGACCACAGCATTGATCCCTAAACTTTGCCTTTTCTGCAGAGTTGAGTGGATGTTGCTCTACCAAGGCATGGTGGTGCTGGTTGCCAGCCAAGTGTGGTGGACTTGGGAGGTGGAAGATGTCTTTCGAAAAGTAAAGCAAGGAGAAAAACAGGCAATGAAAAGCTATGGCCAGAAAATGCACCAGCAGATTGATGAACTGGTAACTCAGATCACCAAACCATTAAGTAAAAATGACAGAAAAAAATACAACACGGTTCTCATCATTGATGTGCATGCCAGAGACATAGTTGATTCATTTATAAGAGGCAGGTAAGGATCTCCAGAAAAAATGAATTGTTTCCTCCTCACAGTTCTTTGGCCTAGTCCTCCCCCTCCCCCTCTCCCTCCCCTTTTCCCCCGTCCTTCTTCACCTCTTCCATGGACTCTTTCTTCTCCAGTATTCTTGAAGCTCGGGAATTTGAATGGGAAAGTCAGTTGCGCTTCTATTGGGATCGAGAACCAGATGAATTGAACGTCCGTCAATGTACTGGAACTTTTGGCTATGGTTATGAGTATATGGGTCTGAATGGACGTTTGGTTATCACGCCAACTACAGACCGCATCTATCTGACACTTACCCAGGTAAAGGTTGGAGATGCGCACCCACCCACACGCGCACACACACACACACACACACACACACACACAATCTGACTTTAACTATTTTTAACTATTTAATTGACTAATATTTAACTAATAATGTCAACTCATGATTATATGTATATATGTGTATATACACGCATGCCCATATATATAATCATGAGTTGCCATTATTAAAGTTTGTAGGTTACATTTTCACACTTTGCTCCTAGTCAGAACTACTGCTCTTGACTCTAACCGTCCCTTCTAAGGTTACTTTGTATCTCTACTCTACATGTATCTTTGTACTTATTTATGTAAATATTGTCTACCCCATCAGAATGTAAACTCCTTGAGGGCAGGGACTATTTTTGCTTTTTCTTTGTATTCTCAGTGCTCAGCACAGTGCCTGGCATATAATAAGTGCTTAATGAACAAATGTTGATTGATTGAACTTTCCTTTTTAGGTCTATGATAAGTGAAATAGTAAGAATGTAGTTGTTTTAACACTTGTAAATTAAAGTTCAATGTGAAAAAAATGGCTTTATGCCAATGACAGGAAAAGGACTGTATTTATAGCCACAAATATGATTCAATTCAACAAACATTTATTAAGTGCTTTCTGTTGTCATGAGTGAAATTGAACAAAAAGGTAAACTGAGGCATGTTTCTCTGAGCAAGTTTATGGTTTATTAGCAGGGGCACAATCAGCCAATAAAACAGGCCAGTGGATTGCCTCAGTTCCCAGCCAAAGACCCAGAATTGAAGATGCAACTCATTTTTATAAGCATAGAATAAAGGACAGAACATAAATCATGTCATTGGTTATGGAATTGACAACATAATAGGGTTTAGGAATCATGATTGGTTGCATTAAAGAAAGTGGGCATAGCACATGTTTGGGATGAAGACCACCTCCCCCGTTTCTAAAAAAACTTTTGTGAATTTATGGGTCCCAGGTGCATCCTGAGGTTATTGAAAGGGGCCACGGATGTAGACTCAGTGGCACCCGGTAATTAAATAATTGTGATAATTAGATTTTAGATAATCGGATAATTAGATAAGACCACCTTTTTAATTGGCAAGAATGAGGCTAAAGATGGGACAGGGTCAGCTAGTCTGCATCTCAAGGGTAACACACTTTGGAGTTTCTCAGACTGAAGTTGTGCAGATGTCCCTTGGTAGGATTGATTTACAGGTGTTGCTGAGATAATTCCCATAGAGAGAGAGAGTATTTTATGACAGCACCGAGCCTCTACACTTAGAGGTTTTCTTTAACTAACAGAAGTTGTGGAAAAGCTCCGACTTTTGCATCTAACTTCAGAGGACGAGGCAGAACTTTTGAACTCATGTGCTTCTTCACTTAGAGACAAAGAAGAGGCTTAGGTGTGTTACAGAGAATACAGAATATGGTTACAGAATAAAATCACTTACAAGGTAACATAAAATTTAAATACACGATCAGTGCCTGATTTTGACACTGTGTAGAGAACACTGTTCTTGGCTCTGAGAGACATGCAGAGTTCAACTCATCTATTTCCCATGGCCTGATGGAGCTTACTAGCTATCAGGGATGAGGGAAGCTAGGTGGTGCAGTGGATGGAGCTTGTGGCCTGAAGTCAGGAAGACCTGAGTTCAAATCCAGCCTCAGACACTCACTAGCTGGGTGACCTTGGGCAAGTCATGACTGAAACGACTGAAAAACAACAATGACATCCCATAGGAGGCTAAGACACCCAGATAACTCTAATAAAAACCAACACATGTTAAGTGCTTTGGGGAGGCACAAAATTCCAGACCAAGGGAGAAAATGTTATTACTCACAGAGAAGACGAGGGAAGGTGGCTTTAGAATTGACCGTTAATGGGTGGGCTGGCAAACAGGGGGAGAGACAATAATCCAGGCATATGGCACAGTGTGGGTGAGCACGGCACAGATGAAGGGAAGGGCACGATGTGTTTGGGAGGTGAGGCAGAGGGTGGTTTCTAGTCTGGTTGGAGTAAACTGTATGCATAAAACTGGAAAAGGAGGGTGGCAGCAGATTGTGAGGGGTTTTAAATGCCCAGGAAAGGAGTTTGAACTGTATGCACTAGAGTCATAAATCTGGAGCTGGAAAAGACCTTGGAGGCCATCAAGTCCAATTCTCTCATTTTACAGATGAGGAAATTGAGGCAGGAAGAGGTTAAGTGACTTCCTCAGGGTCACACAACTAGTAAGTGTCTGAGGCGGGATTGGAATACAGGTCTTTCAGACTCAAGGTCCAGTGCTCTATCTGTAGCAGGCAGCCTTCTAGGCAGAAGATATTGTAGAAAGAATCCTCGTTCAGGTACAGATTGAACTAGATGGCCTCTGGTTAGGGAGCTCCTGAACATGCTTGTGATCAAGTCCAATCAGAATGATAGATCTTCAGAATGCTGAGGATCCGTGATTCTTCTTGTGGACACTCACAGGCACTCGTACCAGTGAGTATTCAGTCTTTGGAGGTTGTTGTGGCTGAAAAAGTCATTTCCCCTTGGGCCACTTGGGCTGAATTGAGCAAGGAAGGTCCTAGAATGACAGACATTAAGAGGACAGATAGTCCATTCCTAGGTCCACTCGTAAAACTTTTCCAGTGCTAGGGCATACACTCTCCTGCCAAATAGTCTTTGAGAACTCAGGGTCATTTCCATACTATACCAACCCATCAGAATAGGATTTTCAAAATTAAATGGAAATTTTTTTATTAACATGCATTTATTATCTTTGATTTTAATTCAATAAATATTTAAATGCTTACTACGTACCAGGCACTGTGCTAAATGCTGGGGATACAAATAAGAAAAAGAGAAAGCGTCTGCCCCTTCAAAGAGCTTACTATCTAATGGGGGATTGGAGAGGGGAGAGTGGTCCTTGGTATAGAAAATGGAGTTACCTGGAAGATTGTGGGCCTTCTATAAAGGAAGGCATTGGGAGGAATTGAATGATCTGCCCTCCAGCCCTCCAATCAGAAGGGAGAGGCAGCTGAATGTGATAGGTGAGTATCAAAACCTGAGGCATTCCTTGGTGTTCCTTGGAGCCAAGTCAGCAGAATTACTGATGGAAAATGGAAAATATCTCTGCTTTCTACCTTCCTCTTTCTGCCTCTGGGGCAAAACCTTTGTCACAACAAACAGAATGAGATTTTAATAGAACTTTTCATAAGGGAGATCATTCTGGCAGAGGTATTTAGTTAATGTAGCAGACATTAAGTGCCTACCATATGCAAGTTGTTAGATTATTGGAGATACAAACACGGCACAGGATCCCTTGGCGTTTCAGAGATGTTGTTATTGTTCAGTCATTTCAGTTATGTCCAACTCTTCATGACCCCATTGAGGGTTTTCTTGGCAGAGATACTGGAGTGGTTTGCCATTTTCTTCTCCAGCTCATGTAACAGCTGAGGAAACTGAGGCAAACAGAGTTAAGTGGCTTGCCCAGGAGCACACAGCTAGTAAGTGTCTATGGCTGCAATTGAATTCAGGTCTTCCTGACTCCGGGTCCTATGCTCTAGCCACTGTATCACCTAGCTGTCCCTTCTTGGAGCTTACATTCTACCCATATAGAAAATGGATTTGAGGAATGAGAGAATACAGACAGGAAGAGCTGTTGGGGGGCGACGGTGCTCGTATGGGCAATAAAGGGGCTATATGATGGTGGTTGGCAGTGGGAGGAGAATTTCCACTATGGGATGCAAGAGATGGTTCACAGGTAGAGTGAACAAGACTGGGTAATCAAATGGACGTGAGAAGGAAGAGTCAAAGGTAATGACGAAGATTTCCAACGTGGGAGACTCAGTCATCGCTAGTGCCATTGGCTAAAATGACAAGCTCGGGATAAACAGAACAGCTCAGGAACAGAGAAGACAGCATTTCAGAGATGGTAGGGGCTGCAGTGGCCACTGAAGCCAACGCTTGCCCCCAAAGGATCTCCACTAAGGCAGACCCAAGAAGTGGTTCTCCATCTTTTGCATGGAGGCCTCCAGCCAGGGGGAGCCTTCTGCTTCACATTCTGCTGTGGGACAGCAACTCCCATGGTTGGAAAGCTTTTCCTGACATCAAGTCCAGCTGCTCCTAGTCTGTCCTGTGGAGCAAAGGGAAAACAAGGCTATTTATTCCCTCTTGCACAGGACGGCCTTTCGGGTACGTGAGACAACTCTCGTGGTCCCCACAAGCCTTCTCTTCCCCCAGACTAAGCATGGTAAGGACAGGCTGAAGAATGTCCTCTATGGCATGGATTTGAGGCTTTCCACCACTGTGGCTGCCTTCTTTTGGACACTCGAGTTTGTCAACATCCTCACTAGCCGTGTGACCCTGGGCAAGTCATTTAATGCTCTGTGCCTCAGTTTCCTCACCTGTAAAGTGGGAATAACAATAGCACCTACCTCTCAGGGTTATTGTGAAGATTAAATGAGCTAATATTTGTAAAGCACTTAGCACAGTGCCTGGCACATAGTAGGCACTTAGTATACGTTTGTTTCTTTCTGGCAATGGAAGGCCAGAGTAAGAGAGAAGCTTTTGGTTCCTAGACGGTCTATTGGAGAATCACAATTATAAGAGTAGATTTAAGTTAGTTTTCCTCTATATATACCTGTAGCACATTTTTTGTTATGTTACCGAACTTGCAGAATAAATTTTTGCTGTCAGACAACATCCATCTATATTTTGCATAAATAAAAATGTTTTCCTTTTGTGCTTGGCTTCTGACAGGCATTGTCCATGTATTTGGGTGGGGCACCAGCAGGTCCAGCAGGGACAGGCAAAACAGAGACCACCAAAGACCTCGCCAAAGCCTTGGGCTTGCTTTGTGTTGTAACCAACTGCGGGGAAGGCATGGATTACAAAGTAAGGAGTTTGACAGTCCTTTCTCTTTCCCCCAATGGGCAGCAAGAACAAAGCAGTGACTTCCGAGGACAATGCATTGCCCTGTCTGCCGTGCCCTGGTGAAAGGAAATGGGATGTTTTAGAAAAGATTCTCTATCAAGCTTGGGCCCCATGATCTCTGAAGTTTCTTCCAAATATGGGTGTAATTCCCCATCACTCTGCCCTTCTTGTGTTATGCAGATGTTTAACATGTGTTTGTTGATTGGTTCAATTAAAGTAAATGTGGTAGGGGGTGGTTTTTGTTTTTATTTTTCTGGATGGGATTCTTCCGCAGGGTCTGCGAGCCCCACCAGATTTGGAGCAGAAACAGCTGAGCTGCAGCCAGAAACAAAGGCGGGGCCTCAGCTGCTCGTTCCTGGTCATTCCTGGCTTTTAAAGTCTGTTGGACTCGTTGGCAGGGTGAATGATGGGGAGGGGGCAAGGACGAAGTATAGCTTTAGCTCTCTAGGGAGTCACAAGATCTCTAAAGGTTCATAGGTGGGAGCCCTGTGGGAAAAAAGGAGAAGATTGTTGAGCTGAGTCAGCGAGGTAATAGAGCTCTGGGCTTGGGAGTCAGGAATACCTGGGTTCCAATCCTGCCTCAGTCACTTACAAGCTTCAGTTTACGTTGGTGGCCTTGGTTTCCACCTCTGTAAAATGAGGGGAATGGACCAGATGACTTCTGAGGCTTCTTCTCCTTGCTCATCTTTGATTCTCTGCCCCAGCATAAGCAAAGCATTGGTGTGGTCTGATATTGTTTTTGCTTCAGGCTGTTGGGAAGATTTTCTCGGGCCTGGCCCAGTGCGGTGCTTGGGGCTGTTTTGACGAGTTTAATCGCATTGACGCCTCTGTGCTGTCAGTCATCTCTTCCCAGATTCAGACCATCCGAAACGCTCTGATTCATCACCTGACAACATTTCAGGTGAGCATGGCGGGCGGACACCTTTCTTGGTTTCCTCACTTGGATTCAGCCAGATGCTCGGCCCATGGGGACACAGGCTTCCCAATCCAGATTTTCTAGAGATGAACTTTAGGCTTAGCAGAACTGTTGCTAACCCTGGTGTTCACTTTCCCAAAAAGTATTGCTAAGAACTACCTGGGAGGCAGGTGAGCCTGGGCCTCAGAGCTGAGGACACCACATTTCCTACCTGGCTGGCAGAGGAGGGAGGAGATGAACCTTCATCCCTCAAGGCTGTGTCCTCACCTAGACGACAAGAGGAAACAAAGCAGACAGTCAAGGGTCTCCCTCTCCTGAGCTCGACTTTTTCTTTCCAAGCACTTGGAGGGAAGGACCTGGGTCATTTTAGTCTTCTCTCCCCAGCCCCTAGCCCAGTGACCTGTATGAATGAGGGATATGGTATATTCTTGGCTAAATTGAACTGAATTCTTTGTTGTGGGGAGGGCTGACTTGTCCTCATGTTTTTGGGTTCTAGTTTGAAGGCCAAGAAATTTCCCTGGATCCTCGCATGGGCATCTTCATTACTATGAATCCGGGGTATGCTGGCCGGACAGAACTCCCGGAGTCTGTGAAGGCTTTGTTCAGGCCTGTGGTTGTAATTGTGCCAGACCTCCAACAGATCTGTGAGATCATGCTCTTCTCCGAGGGATTTCTTTTGGCAAAGGTACGAAAAATGTAATGAATGCAAAGTGAACGAGCCTTAGACCCTTACCCTTCCTGCTAGGTTTCTGTAATGTCTCAGCTTTTCTTACCACCATCTCCTACAGTTACAGTTCTCAAAGCCCCCTCATGTTCCCTGCCTTTGGTTTCTATTTATTTTGTATCTTCAGAGAACAAGGCAAAGACTTTTTTCTCTGGTAGTTGATGACTGTGGACAAGGAGATCCCAAAGCATACCCAAGGATCTTACCCACACAACCACAAGACAGATACTGCTTCATGATGACAGTAGGGGACAGGGCCTGGACCTGTGATTTCCTTGGTATACAGAACTCCCCCTACCAATGCAGGTTGGCACCTTCAATGCACCTGGGCCATGGAGAGGCCAGGCGACTCATCCAAGGTTAGACCCCTAGCATGGATCAGAGGCAGGACAAGAAGTCACATCTTGCTGGTGCTTCACCAGTAAAGTGACTGAAGGTGCTGAACAGTGAACGTTTTCAGTGTAATGGGGTGATGCAGGCTGGTCAGATGAGGCCCTTTGCCCCAGAGAGAAGGCGGGGGTCAGGTAGGATGACTGATGGTATTTAAGTTCAGCCCCTGATGCCAAAAAATTCTAGTCTCCTGAGTTCATCCTCATGTGTCCTTCTTGGGACTGGGGTATTCCCAGGGGCAAGGATCTGTTTATCCCAGACAAACGAGCTCCTTTTGGTCAAATATTCTGTCTCCCTTTGTCCTTAGTATCAAACAACGTTGGCTGATCACTCTTCAGGCCATTCAGAATCAATCTGTGTTCTGGGCATCCTGGGTAGGAGTCTGTCTTCACACAGACTCAGGGAAGCATAGGGTATGTGCAGGAACTGAAAGCAGGAACAGACCTCCTTGGGTGCATGCCCTTCTTTTTATCCGAGAGGAAACTGAGGCCCAGAGACAGGAAGTGAATTGGTTTGGTTGGTTGGCTGCTGTCCTTTGTTCTCATAGAGGACCAAAAGGACATCATTGTGCTAGAGTCAAGTTTCAGTGTGTCTGACCGTGGCTGATGAGACCAATACAAGCTTGGAATGCTCCGCCACAGGTCGGGCACAAATAGTCCATGGGAGCATTTGGAGTGGATTCTCTAAGTTTGTGCATCCTGCGTTTCCTTTGAGCTGCTTCAGTTCTACTTTGCTCATAGAGCAGAGCACCGTCTCTAACGTGGCACGCCATGCTGGGTGGTCCTGTGTCAGTGTCTCCCATGTCATACAATCAATTCCAAAGTTCTTAAGAGAAACCTTGAGAGTGTCCTTGTATCACCTCTTCTGGCCACCATATGAATGCTTGCCCTGTGTGAGTTCTCCATAAAATAGTCTTTTAGGCAAGCATTTGGCATTTGAACAACGTGGCCAGCCCATCAGAGTTGTGCTCAAGAGGTTGGCAGTTTAGCTAGAGAAAGGACCTCAGTGTCTGGTGTCCTATCTTGCCAGGTGCTCTTCAGAATTTGCCTAAGACAATTATCAGAGAAGAAATAAGTAGCTGAGGTTAGATTCAAACCCAGGTCCTCTGAAGCCACATCTGGGGCTCCTTCCACTGCACCTCATGTCTCCTTGTGTCCTTTATGCATGTGAGTGAACCACTAGGTTTTTGTAGTGTGTTGTTCATGAATCCCGTAGTTAGATTAGAGGAATTTGTAGCAGATATGTATCACAGTGGATAGAGTGCTGGGCCTGGAGTCAGGAAGACCTGAGTTCAAATCCACCTTCAGACACTACCTGTTTGACTGAGCAAATCCCTTAACTGCCACCTGCCTCATCTACAAAATGGAGATAATAACAACACTTGCCCCTCAGGGTTGTTGTGAGGATCAAATGAGATAATATTAATAAAGTGCTTAGCATAGCACCTGGCACATAGTAAGTGCTGTGTGAATGTTAGCTCTTATTATTAATTCTTACCATTATGACATGACTTTTTTTTTTTGGCTCAAGGACCTTGGGTCCCTTCACCACCATCATGACAAAGCAGAATTCATCGAGATCCTGGGGTATAGCATTTGGATCTTCTGTTTCTCAGCTGCCCTTGATATCTGCCATTCAGGCATTGGGAGTGGGAGGGGGTGGTGGAGGGTAGATTGAGAATTCTTTGAACAGATTTAAATGATTGTTTTGTTTTATGATAAAGCGAACCAAAGCATTATTTTTGACATACTTTAAACCTGTTCCTCAAGGCATTGGAGTTATATAATGATATACAATGAAGTTTTCAGGAAATTCCCCTTCTCTCTATTTGATTTTTGGCATATTCATCAATGTTTTGTAAGGTGTTTGGTCTCCCCCCCCCCCATTTCTTTTCAATTTTAAAATAGATAAAAAATAATCCCAAAGACGGTCATGTTTGAATACCCAAAGGGAAGCATTGAGCTTTGTTTTGTATTTTATATCACACAGGGGCTCTGACTTTCTCTCTGGTTCTCATCTTTCATTGATCATTTCTTCTGCCAAATAGACGCTGGCCAAAAAGATGACTGTGCTGTACAAACTGTCCCGGGAGCAGCTGTCCAAACAACACCACTATGACTTTGGACTGAGGGCTCTTAAGTCAGTGTTAGTGATGGCTGGTGAACTGAAGAGAGGGTCTTTTGAACTAAGAGAGGTAAATGTCACATGCAGTACCATTCACCACATCTTCGTTTAGTAACTAAGGATAATAATAATAAAAAGGTAATTAGGTGGATTCATGGAGGGAGCGCTGGACCAGGAGGCAGGAAGACCTGAGCTCAAATTCAGCCCCAGACAATTCCTAGCCATGTGGCCCTGGGCAACTCACTTGACCTCTGTCTGCCTCAATTTCTTCATCTGTAAAATGGGGATAATAATAGCACCTACCTTCTAGGCATGTTGTTAGATAAAGTGAATTAATAATTGTAAAGTGCTTTGCAAGTCTTGAAATCTAACACCAAAGATAGCTTTTATGGTTAATAGTAATAACAAAAAAATAATAAGTTAAAAAAGTCAAAAGATTAAAGTGACACAAGGAGTCAAGATAGTACAAAGAACAAAATAAACAATTTGAGATCAATCGAAAACCACTGTAGAGGCTCGAGAACAAAGAAATCAGAGATGAGAGAGAGCCTTTGAAGAGGAAGGAGGATGTGGAAAATTGCTGGTTGTCCAGATGATTACAAGAAGTCAAATAAAATGAAAATGCAGCATGTGTGTAACAAGAAACAGATAATTCATGCGTTGTTAATATAATTAATGGTAGACTCGTTATGTCAAAGTAGATGTTGGAAACTAGCTTCCTTGCAAGACTGGAAAGAGGTGAGACCGTATAACATCCATAATTATTGGCTTACCAACAAAGCACTTTAGAATTTTCCTCCCAAATGTAAACGTGATTCTCCTTCCTTTTTTAAAAACTAATTTTTTAAATTGATTTTTGTTGTTGTTGTTCAGTCATTTAGTTACGTCCAGTTCTTCATCACCCCATGGACCATAGCACGCCAGGCCTTTCTATCCTCCACTATCTCCTGAAGATCATCCAAGCTCATGTTCATTGCTTTCATGACATTCTCCATCCTTCTTATCCTCTGCCGTCCCCTTCTCCTTTTGCCTTCAGTCTTTCCCAACATCAGAATCTTTTCCAGTGAGTCCCATCTTCTCATATGTGGCCAAAGTATTTAAGCTTCAGCTTCAGTATTTGACCTTCCGGTGAATACCCTGAATTAATTTCTTTAAGCATTGACTGATTTGATCTCCTTGCTGTCTAAGGGACTTTCAAAAGTCTTCTTCAGCACCACATTTTGAAAGCATCAGTTCTGTGGTGCTCAGCTTTCCTTATGTCCAACTCTCACAGATATATGTTGCTATTGGGAAAAAAATAGCTTTGACTATATGGACCTTTGTTGGCAAGGTAACATCTCTGCTTTTTAATCTGTTGTCCAGATTTGCCATAGCTCTCCTTCTAAGGAGCAAATGCCTTTTAATTTCATGGCAACAGTCTCCATCTGAAGTGATTTGTGAGCCTGAGAATATAAAATCTGACACTGCTTCCATTTCTTCTCCTCGTATTTGCCAGCAGGTGATGGACCAGTTGCCAAGATCTTAGTTTTTTTGATGTTAAGCTTCAAGCCAGTTTTTACTCTCTCCTCTTTTACCCTCATTAAGAAGCTTCTTAATTCCTCTTCACTTTCTGCCATCAGAGTGGTACCATCCGTGTATCTGAGATTGTTGATATTTCTCCTGGCAACCTCAATTCTGGCTTTTGATTTGTCCAGCCTGGCACTACACGTGATGTACTCTGTATATAAGTTAAATAGGGTGACAATATACAGCCTTGTTGTATTCCTTTTCCAATCTTGAAACCAATCAGTGGCTCCATGTTTGGTTCTAACTGCTGCTTCTTGACCTGCATACAGGTTCCCCAGACAAGTAAGACGATCTGGTACTCCCATCTCTTTGAGCACTTGCCACATTTTGTTGTGATCCACACAGTTAAAGGCTTTCTACTGTAGTCAGTGAAGCAGAAGTAGATGGTTTTCTGGAACTCCCTTGCTTTCTCCATAATCCAGTGAATGTTGGCAATTTGGTCTCTAGTTCTTCAGCCCCTTTGAAAACCAGTTTGCTTTTCTGGCAATTCTCGGTTCACATATTGCTGAAGCTTGGCTTGCAGAATCTTAAGCGTGTGAGATGAGTACGCTTGTTCAGTAATTTGAACATTCTTTGGGATTGCCCTTCTTTAGGAAATTGATCTTTTCCAATCCAGTGGTCACTGTTGAGTGCACCACTTTAACAGCACCGTCTTTGAGGCTTTTAAATAGCTCACTTGAATTTCCATCTCCTCCACTAGCCTCATTGTTAGCAATGCTTCCTAGGGCCTGCTTGATTTCGTTCCCCAGGATGTCTGGCTCTGGATCAGTAACCATGCCATTGTTGTTTTATATCACCTAAATTTCTTCCTGTATCCATTCTCTTTTCTCCTTCTAGAAAGCCACCTCATATAACATATTTATTTAAAAAAAATAAAAAGAGGAAAAAGAAAAAATTAGAAAAAATTTGATAAAAATCTGACAATATATGTAATGTTCTACTCCTCTACAATGGAGTGGGGGGGGAGGTTTTAAAAAAAATTAATTTTTTCAATGAACAAAAATCTATTTTCTGTTTCACTTCCCAACTGCCTCCCCACCTCCCCGCCAAAGAAAGAAAGAAAGAAAAACAAAACCCTTTTAACGTATACTTAGTCAAATAAAATAAATTCCCTCAATGGCCAAGCCTAAAAATGCGTGTCTCTGCATCCTGAGCCCATTATCTCTCGTAGAGGATGTAGGGTAGCATGCTTCATCACTGGTCAGTCCTGTGGAATCATTTGCTCATGTGTTGATCAGAATTCTTAAACCTTTTAAACTTATTTATTTTTACAATGTTGGTATTATTGTATAAATTGTTTTCTTGGTTCAATTCACATCAGTTGATAGAAAACTCAGGTTTCTCTGAAACCATTCCTTTCATTATTTCTTCCAGTACAATAGTATTCCATTACATTCACATGCCATAATTTTTCCAGTCATTCCCCAATTGATGAGCACTCCCCTTAATTTCCTGTTCTTTGCAACTACAAAGAGAGCTGCTATAAATATTTTTGTACAAGTGAGTCTATTTCCTCTTTCTTTGATCTCTTTGTAGTATAGACCTAGTGGTGGTATCACTAGATCAAAGGATGTGCACAGTTTTTGGGTTACTGTTCCAGATTGCTTTCTATAATGACTGGACCCATTAATAACACAGCCTTTCTCATATTTGTCATGTTCCTTTTTTGTAAACTTTGTTGATCAATGATGTAGAATCGCAGAATTGCCTTAATTTGTGTTTCTTTAATTATTATGATTCAGATAATTTTAAATTATTTTTTTATTGATAGCTTGGATTTCTTCCTCATAAAGCCACCCATTCATATTCCTTGACCACCTATCATTTGGGGAGAAGATGTCTTCTCATATGCTCATTTTGGAATGAAGTTTATTCTTTGTCATTTTGTTCTATTCATTTTTAATTGTTTTGTGGTTGTTTTTTCCACTTACATTGTTGCACTCATTGTGTGCACTGTTTTCTTGGTTCTGCTTACTTCACTTTGCATCAGTTCATGGAAGCCTTCCTATGTTTCTTTGTATTTGTCACATTGGTCATTTCAGACAGTGCGGCAATATCCCACTTTATTATCGATGCACCACGGTTTGTTTAGCTACCCCCCGATTGATAGACATCTATTTTGTTCTTAGTTCTTTGCCATCACATAAAGTGTCCCTACAAACTTTGGTGAGCGTGGGGCCTTTCTTTTTATCAAAGACCCTTTTAATTTTACACAATCAAAGTTGTCTGTTTTATCATCAGTGATCCTCTTTATCCCTTGTTTGGTCATGAATGATTATTCCCCTATCCGTAGAACCGAAAAGCGATTGCTTTCTTCCTCTCCTCGTTGGTTTAGGATGTCACCCTTTATGTCTAAGTAACATTGTCTGAAAAGATGTCTTGTGATTTCATGTTCACCAGGATGTGGTCCTGATGAGGGCTCTCAGAGACATGAATCTGCCCAAGTTCGTGTTTGAAGATGTTCCTCTTTTCCTTGGTTTGATTTCTGATTTGTTTCCCGGGCTCGACTGTCCTCGAGTTCGCTACCCCAGTTTCAACGATGCAGTAGAACAAATCCTAGAGGACAATGGTTACATCGTCTTACCGGTTCAGGTAAAAATCAGGTGGGGAACAGATGGACAGTCCTTTTGGATGGCCAAAGTACTTCACCTCTTTCTCTTAGTTTTTCTTTTGGAAAATAGTGGATAAAGTATTCTCTTTTTTAGAGGTTGATTTGTGATAGAGAGCCTTATTTATTTAAACTTAATTTTATTATTATGAGCTTGAGCGATGAGTTTTAACTGGATGCCAATGTGTATTTTATAGGTGGATAAAGTGGTTCAGATGTATGAGACCATGTTAACCCGCCATACCACTATGGTGGTTGGACCCACCGGAGGTGGCAAATCGGTCGTCATCAACACTTTATGCCAGGCCCAGACGAAGTGAGTATGGCAGCTCATGTAGTGTTGGCAAGATTGTTAAGTCATGCTTTTCCTGTTTTTATTTTCCTGGAATTATAAAATGAATCACTTTTTGTATGCATTTTTTTTTTTTTTGGTTTGCATTCTTTTGTTGAATGATTTAGTCCACACATTTTAAGAGGCAAAATAGTGATGATCTTGAACCCTCGTCTGAGGTTCAATTTCTATCTGTAAGATCAGAATAATTGTTAGCAATGCTTCCTAGGGCCCGCTTGATTTCATTCCCTAGGATGTCTGGCTCCAGATCAGTAACCACGCCACTATTGTTTTATATCACCTAAATTTCTCCCTGTACCCATTCTCTTTCTTCCTTCTAGAAAGCCATCTCATATAACATTTATTTTTAAAAAATAAAAAGAAGAAAAAAAATAAAAACTCACTTCATGGGGGTGTTTGGAGGATAAATAATGAAATACAGATTTGCCTTTTGGGCAGATTATTCCCAGAAAGTAAGTTAGGCATATTGGTATGGGTTGGGAGGTAGAGGTGGGTGTGTACTTAAGCACAATTGTATATGGTGGGTTAATGATTAGAAGAACTCATACACTTTCCAAAGGGCCTTTTACTCCCAGTGATTGATTTAGGTTAAGGAAGGACAGAAACTTCAAGGCTTTGAGATTTTTAGAAAATCATAAATCCAAGTTACTATTATTATTATTTTTATTAGGGATGGGAGTTTTATTTTTTGATATCTTATTTCACTTATTTCAGTGGATTGCTAATCTGATCTGCACATATATGTGTGTATATGTGTGTACATATTTATTCTATATATATATTCTAATAATAATATTTATGGCAGAACAAATAAATATCACAAAAGGAAAATGAATAGAGCCCTAGGCTTGTAGTCAGGCAAACCTGAGTTCAAAATTCTGCCTCTCTGGGCCTCTGTTTCCTTATCTGTAAAATAAGGGGGTTAGACTCAGTGGTTTCTAAGGTTCTTTCAAGCTCTTTAATACCCTGTGATCATATTCTTTGTGGTTATCATCCCTAACAAGTAGTCCTTAGTAGGTATAGCAATTAAAGTAGATAAAGCATTTACTTAAAAAAATTATTTTTAAATTCAATTTTTTTGAGTGTCTGTTCTTTCTTTCCCACCTCTTCCAACCCACCGAGAAAGCAAGAAAAATAAAACTCAAATGTAGTAAAGCAAAATAAATTCCAACATTGGCCATGTCCAAAAAAAAATGTCTCAAATCAGCACCAGTAATGCATTAATGTACTTATTTTACCACAGCCCCACCAGACATTTGTAATTTTACTTTTTGTCAACTTTCCAATCTTCTGGCTGTGAGATGAAAACTCAGAGTTGTTTTAATGTATAATTTTCTAATTATTAGTGATTTAGAGCATTTTTTCCCTTGTGGCTATTGATAGCTTAGATTTCTTCCCTGTGAAACTGACTATTCAAATTTGACCATTTATTAACCGGGGGAATGGCTCTTTTTGTATATATCTGAATCCGTTCTCTATATATTTTAGAATGACATCTTTATCAGAGAAACTTGCTGCAAAGATTTTCCCAACATGTACCTGTTTCTCTCCTAATTTTACTTACATTGGTTTTGTTTGTGCAAAACCTTTTTAATTTTATGTAATCAAAATTGTACATTTTACCTTCTTCGGTCCTTTCTATCTTGGTCTTGAACTCTTTCTCCATCCACAAATCTGACAGATAATTTCTTCTTTAATTCCCTAATTTGTTTGTGATATGAAAACCTTACGAAGAGTCAGACATGTAGAGTTCTGAAGTTAGTTTCTCCTCAGCTGGTGTTGCGTTTTCTAAACATCCTGTTCAGGTATAGCTTTATAGTTTTCCTAGTTTTGTAGTTTCTAGCTTTCTAGATGGCTTAACACATCAGGTGTTTTTAAATTAGGCTTGGCTTAGTGACGAAGATCTATACGCTAAACCCCAAGGCAATGAGTGTGATAGAATTATACGGCATTTTGGATCCTGCTACCCGAGACTGGACAGATGGCGTGTTGTCAAACATCTTCAGGGAGACCAATAAACCAACTGACAAGAAAGAGAGAAAGTAAGTGTTTTCAGAAACCGTGAAGAGTTCAGCCAGTTAACAGGAAACAATGGAAAATCATATCAGGATCAAGAATATTATTAATCAATCAATCAATTAATTAATTGAATACTTTGCAGCAGAGTGAGGCCAGGAAAGATTCCGATTTCATATTTTAGCTCAAAATCTGTTATGACAAATCCCCTGAATAATCCCAGAGCTGCATCCCAAAAGGAGTGTCATTATTATTTCAAAGGATATTTGATAGGACCAAATTCCAGCACAACAGAGTAATTGGGACAGCCTCTGTGGGTTGATCTCCATAGGATATAACCTGTATGTGACTCTGCCTTACTTGTTGAAATAACTAAAGTACAATTTGTCTGGTGATGCTATAATGCCAAAAGTTACTTGAAGGTACTGGGAGGGAGTGCTGGCTTTAGAATCGAGGAGCTTGGTTTAAATCCTGCCTTTGCTACTTATTTGCTGTGTGACCTTGGCAAGGTAGCAATCGTCTCTGGGTCTCAGGTCCTCTTGGTGAAATGAGGGGATTGGACAAGATGAACTGTAAGGCCCCTTTCATTTCTAAATCCTATGATCCTACAACATGGAGTCACAGAATTTCAGGGTTGGGAGAGACCATCTGCTCCAACCCATAACTTAACACAAATCCTTCTGCAACATGCTTGACCAATGGTCATCCAGCATCTACTTGAAGGGTCCCCCTTCCCCCTTGAGGGGAAGCCCATCACTGCCCCAGGCGGTTGATTCCCCATACCTTTAGAGGTGGTCCGTTCCACCTTGGGACAGCTCTCATCGTTTCCTAATGATTGGGTCTCTCCAGCCACTCCCAAGACCAGGTTGTGTGCTCCTTATTGGGTTTCACCACTGAGAGGCAGGTGACTTTTATTCACTGGCTGGGTAAGTGAGTCACTTTGTCATGGCCAGCTATTCCTTCCTTACCACCTTTATACAGATACATTTTATTTGATGGTGATGTGGACGCACTCTGGGTAGAAAACATGAATTCTGTGATGGATGACAACAAGCTGTTGACCTTGGCCAATGGAGAGCGCATCCGACTTCAGGCTCATTGTTCTCTGTTGTTTGAGGTAAGTGGCAGTGAAGTCATTCTGAGCTAAATTTTAATGATGTGACTAATTGGGACACCCATCATTTGTCCATATTAACTGTTTGTCAAATGCACTTTTGCATGTGGCCACCCCTTTTGATGCTTGTACGCTGTAAATAATTTTGGGGGGGAATTCTACCTGTGATTTCACTGCTATAGGACAGGAGTTCTTAACCCTTTTTTGTGTCTTGAGTCCCTTTGGCAATGTGGTGAAGCCTAACACATCTTAGAACAATGCTTTTAAATGCATAAAATAAAATACAGAGGATTATGAGGAAAAACCATTTTTACTGAAATACAGTTACCGAAATGAGTTAAAAAACCCAAGTTCAGGTTGAGAACCCCTGGTACAGGGAACTCCCAGAGGAGAAAGCTCCCTCCACCAAGGCAGGTAAGCCTTCTTTGAAACTTAGAGTTGCCTGGGGCACTGAGAGTTTAAAGTGACTTGCCCAGGGTCATAAAGTCATATGTGACAGAGGCAGCACTGGAACCCAAGTCTTCTGATTCAAAGGCTGACCCTCTAACCATTATGCCACACTACCTCTCATGTCAAAAGCTTGTGTGTTAATTTTATTGGTGCAGTTCAACTTTTGAGAATATTTTCCTATCAAAGTCAAAAGCTCTTGGCCTTTTGACCACAAATCTAAGATCTTTGTGATGCATAAAAGGTTTGAGAGACATAATTTCTGGATAATTTATCATTTTATTAATTATAGCTAGTGAATAATTAAGGAAAGGATGGTTATTTGGCCATCTCTTATAAACTAAAGACCTCTCATGGGGACCTCTTGATGCTTATATGCCCTTGGAAGAGTAGGTGTTCCTGATAGGTGGCTATCAACTCTGATTGGTTAACAATTAATGAGAGAATTAATATTATAATAAATGAGGGGCAGAGTGGGCATGGTCCCCCCTGACCATAATTCTGATCACTCAGTCTTAGACAAAGAGATTTAGCTCTACCCAAACCCACCCTTGCCTCGGGCAGTCTAGACAAAGGGAGTCTGACCACAACACCTGGACTGAAATCTCTTTACCTTTTGATCAGTTTCCCAGTTGGGTAAGTGTTGTCCTGCTCTGCCCTTCAGAGAACTAAGCTTTGACCTAATCTCCAATTGAGGAAATAGGAAGGGTATAAATCCTGTAACTCCCTCATCGTAACTGGTCATTAGTATGAGAGAAATAATCATTTCTTCACCTTATCCAAAGACATGTCAGTCCAAGAGAACATAAGATTTTTGAAGGCTAGGGTAGCTTTTCATTTTGTCTTTGTACATTCACCATGAAGCCCTGGCCACAGTGAATTCTTGTTCCATCAGTGCTTGCTGGACTGGGCTCTATTGGATTGGAGTCTTCAATACTGGGTCATGCCTCCTTGCTTTTATATCTGCCTTTCTTTGAGGCCTGCTGAAATCAAAGTTGTGTGGCTATCATAGAAGGTCCCCAGGGCCCTGGGAGTTAGCACATAGTGAATTGTAGAGGAAGGTCTATCCTATAACTTGGCATGATGCCTGGACCAACATCCATGCTGAATCAACGTTTGTTGAATTGCATTGAGTAGTAAATGAGTTCTTCTGAAACTGAAAAGTGTTTGCACATGAGATGAAGGTAGTCAGATTTCTGGGTCACCAGACATTCCACAGGCAATATCCACCTCAATTGTTCCATGAATACTGTGTAACAACTTTTCTTCCTTCCTTCCTTCCTTCCTTCCTTCCTTCCTTCCTTTCTTTCTTTCTTTCTTCCTTCCTTCCTTCCTTTTCTTTCTTTCTTTCTTTCTTTCTTTCTTTCTTTCTTTCTTTCTTT